GATTAACATTTGAACCAGTGGGCTGGGAAGGGCAGCCCCACCCTTAAGCTGGGTGGGCACAGTCTAATCAGCTGCCATCAAGGCCAGAATAAAAAGCAGGCAGAAGAATGTGAAAAGACTAGACTGGCTTAGCCTCCCAGCCTACATCTTTCTCCCGTGCTGGACGTTTGCTGCCCTTGGACATTGGACTTCAAGTTCTTCAGCTTTGGGACTCAGACTGGCTTCCTTGCTCCTCAGCCTGCAGACAGCCTATGGTGGGACCCTGTGATCCTGTGAGTTAAAACGCCTTAATAAACTCCCCTTCACATAGATACATATTCTATTCGTTCTGTCCTTCTAGAGAAGCCTGACAAACACACAAGGGATTTTTCTCCCTTTCTCTTTGCTTTGGGAGGGAACTTAAGTAGTGATTGTGTCTCCATGGTTGCAGATCCTTCTAGACACCTCCTTACCATCCTGTTTGCCTTATAAACTCTTCTGACACCACAAGCTCCGTGTTAAACTCCCTCCGTTGAACCACTTAGCAAGTGCCATTTTCCTGGCCAGTCCATGACAAATGCAGCCAGCTTGCGGATGATGTGTGGTCAATTTCAGTCCCACTGGTGCACAGCCTTCATTTAATATCCACACAGAGAAGGACATGGAAGAGGAGAGGGAGGGGGAAAGTGAACTGTCAAAAATTTAGCACAATCTGGTTAATTCCAAATCTCTGTCCATCTTCCCGCTGCTCACTGCACAGCTGAACAGCTGGAGAAAAAGCACACAACCGTGTTGTCCAGTTCCAGTTTAAAGTCATGATCACTGCCCTCAAGAGGGCCCTTAATGCGGTCCTGCAGTCATCCTGAGTTCCCTAAGCCATTCATTCTCCTGCTCTCCTAGGCAGCTGTGCAAGTCCTTACCCTCTCTACTCAAATTCCTGAGAGCACCACCTTCTCCCTTATCATCACTCTCAGCTGATCTTGCTTCCTCTTACGTGGAGAAATCAGAAGCATTCAGAAGAGAATAAGCCTTCGGCATCACATCTCTCCACCTGCCAGTCTCTACACATTTATTTCACCTTCGCTCCAGCATCCGTCCACACAGCAGGGAAACAACAGCCTCTAGACCTATGTCTATGCACAACATAAGAAATGGTCTTGTCTACCCAGTCACACTATTCCAACAACTGTTTCTTCTTCTCTCTGCATTATCAATTTCCCCCTTTCTACTGGATCTTTCCAATCAGCATACAAACATGCCATTGTTTCTCTCATTTAAAAATGTTCCCAGCTGAAGCTCTGTGGCTCACGCCTGTAATCCAAGGACTTTGGGAGGCCAAGGTGAGTGGATCACCTGAGGTCAGGAGTTTGAGACCAGCCTGATCAACATGGTAAAACCCCGTTTCTACTAAAAATACAAAAATTAGCTGAGCATGGTGGCACACACTTGTAATTCCAGCTACTCAGGAGGCTGAGAAAGGAGAATCACTTGAACCTGGGAGGCAGAGGTTGCAGTGAGCCGAGATCACATCGCTGCACTCCAGCCTGGGCAACAGTGAGACTCCGTCGCAAAGAAAAAGAAATTCCCTTGATTCTACCTCCTGCTCTGGCCATTACCCCACTTCTCCCCTACTCTTTCAGCGAACTCTTCATGAGAGTTGTCTTTGCTCACTCTCTTTCTCCTTTCATTCCTTCTTGAGCCCTCTTTGATCAAGCTTTTGCCCACCTCTCCACTGAAACTGCTCTTGCCAAGGTCACAAATAACTTCTCACTGCTAAATCCAGTGATCAGTTCCCAGTCCTCATCTTACCTCATTTCGCCTCATCCTCTGGCACAGCTGGATCCTCCTCTCCCCAGTCTCTCAATGTTGGAGCACCCAGGACTCAGTCTTTGGATCCTTTCTCTTTTTACCTATACTTCATCAAGTCTCATGGCTCAAGTTCGGTCTACGTTTCTCCTGGTGTCCACATTTATACTTCCAGCCTGGACCTCTCCTCCGAGTTCCAGACCCCACAGCCTACTTGACATCTCTGCTTGATCTCCTAACTCCGAGCTCCAGACCCCACAGCCTACTTGACATCTCTGCTTGATCTCCTACCTCCGAGCTCCAGACCCTACAGCCTACTTGACATCTCCGCTTGATCTCTAACCTCCGAGCTCCAGACCCTACAGCCTACTTGACATCTCCGCTTGATCTCTAACCTCCGCGCTCCAGACCCCACAGCCTACTTGACATCTCCACTTGATCTCTAACAGACATCTCAGCCTGAACAGACCCCAAACTGAGCACGTGATTTTGCCTCCTCTCAGTAAACAGCAACTTCATTCTTCCAGTTGCTGCTCCTCTTTCTTTGGGTGAGGATGGATCCATCAGGAGATCCTATTTACTCTATGTTCAGAATAATCCAGAAACTGACTACCACAGCCCTGATCATGTCCCAATCATCTCATCCCAAGATTATTTCAGTCATCTCCTATCTGCTCTCCCTACCTTGACTCTTACCCGCTTTACTCTATTCTTAACACAGCCACCAGAGAGAACCTTCTAACACACAAGCCAAGTCATATCACTCCTTAGCTTACCACAAGTAGAAGCTAAAATTGCTACCGTGCCTGAGAGCCCCAACAGAGTCTGGCCCTGTTACCTCTCTGACCTCATCTCCCCTCATTCATTCTGTTCCAGCTGCACGGGCCCCTGTGCCTCTTGGATCCCTCCAGGCATGTTCCTGCCTAAGACCCTTGCATTTGTGATTCCTTCTGCCTAGAAGGCTTTTCCCTATTCCTCCTCCTTCCTTCACATCAATACTGAAACGAGGTGGCTATCCCCGACCCGTCTATTTAAAAACTCTATACTCCCTGGTGCCTTCACTCATCCTTCCCTACCTTAATTTTCCCTGCAACACTTATTTCCACCTAATAAACCATACTTCTATGAATTGATTTATGTCCATTGTCTTTCTTCCCCCACTAAAGTATAAACTACATCTGGCCAGAGGAGTTATCACTGCGATATCACCAAAGCCCAGAATGGTGCCTGGAACATAGTACGTACTCAACAACTGTGGTTGAATGAATGAATCAAACTTCCCTGGGTCCTGCCCTACTTCTGGACTTCTTATAATGGAAGCCAAGTGTCCATATTGTTAAATCGGACTGAGTTGGGTTTTCTGTTTTCTCACACTTTTAGCAGATGTCAGCCTAACTGACGCCCATGTGTTATCTTGTTTAATCCTCATACCAACTCTGAGAGTTTTATTCTTCTGGTTTCCAGACGGAAAAGGTAAGTCCCAAAGAGATTAAGTTACATGCTAGAGGTCACACAGGTAGTCAGTCGCAGAATCCAGATTCCCAGCCCATCTGACTGATGCCAAAGCCATAAAAACAGCGCACTTCACCGGGCACGCTGGCTCAAGCCTGTAATCCCAGCACTTTGGGAGGCCGAGGAGGATCACAAGGTCAAGAGATCGAGACCATCCTGGTCAACATGGTGAAACCCCATCTCTACTAAAAATACAAAAAAATTAGCTGGGCATGGTGGTGCGTGCCTGTAATCCCAGCTACTCAGGAGGCTGGGGCAGGAGAAATGCCTGAACCCAGGAGGCGGACGTTGCGGTGAGCCGAGATCGCGCCATTGCACTCCAGCCTGGGTAACGAGAGCGAAACTCCGTCTCAGAAAAAAACAAAACAAAACAAAACAGCTGTACTTCAAGAAGGCTGGCCGTCCCCAGAAGCACCACCAGGGCTGAGCTGAGTCAGGATCCATAGGAATGGAAGGTCTAGAGGCTGCCAGGGATCTCCACAAAAGAAACACTTACTTTGTTAAGAACTTCAAGTATCAGATGACAACGTAATCATTGCGTTCCCTGGTTTGTTTTATCTTGTTTGTTTCCTGCATTTCACAATTTGTCTTATTGTTGCTTGCATGCTTATTGTCTATCTCTCCCCTTAGCTCTCTATTCTGTGTATCCTCAGCATCCAGCACAGTGCCTGGTACATTTTAGTCACTTCAATAAATGGATGAACAAATTGATTGGATGAACAAATTTTGCTTACTACTCCACTCATCAAATACACCCTGATTGAGTATCCTGCTTTGCACTAAGCACTGTTTTTATTATTCTTAGTCTGATAAGAGATAGAGGGGGGAAACCGTAATCAATGCCATAAAGGAAAAGTATGGGGTGGTGTGAAAGTGTACAGCAGGTGCCCTAATTTAGATGGGAGAGTGTCAATGAGGGTCTCCAGAGCTGAAGGATGAAGGGAAAGAGTGGTCCTAGGAGAGGAACGATCCTTGCTGCCTTTCTTTTCTTTTTTTTTTTTTTTTTGAGACGGAGTTTCCCTCTTGTTACCCAGGCTGGAGTGCAATGGTGCGATCTCAGCTCACTGCAACCTCCGCCTCCTGGGTTCAGGCAATTCACCTGCCTCAGCCTCCTGAGCAGCTGGGATTACAGGCACGCACCACCGTGCCCAGCTAATTTTTTGTATTTTTAGTAGAGATGGGGTTTCACCATGTTGACCAGGATGGTCTCGATCTCTTGACCTCATGATCCACCCACCTTGGCCTCCCAAAGTGCTGGGATTACAGGCATAAGCCACCACGCCCAGCATTCTTTTCTTTTTTAAAAAATTTTTATTTATTTTCTGTAGAGACGGGGTTTCTCCATGTTGGTCAGGCTGGTCTGGAACCCCCGACCTCAGGCAATTTGCCGTCCTCGGCCTCCCAAAGTGCCGGGATTACAGGCGTGAGCCATCGTACCCGGCCCTCCTTGCTGCCTTTCAGGGACTGAAGGACAGTAGGTGTGCAACTAACGGTCTCATCTTCTCCGTGGTGGCCTGTGCTTCCTAAGATCTGCCAGAGATGGAGGGCATAGGCCAGCTTGATCCTGCCTGTTGGATCCTGCTTTATCTTTAGTCTTCTATGTCCAGAAATCCTGAGCCTGGCCACTTTTCCATGAGCCAGAATAATTCAGAGAACTGATCACTGCAAGTCACTCTACCTTGGAGCTATTGGAATGGCTCCAGAACAAGGCACTGGGGCCCAAGGCAGAATTCCAACAAGGAGGGTTTTAATCATTGCATTAAATGGGACTGGGGTGGGAACCAAGCACCAAAGAAGACGGCACGCCAGTGTCCACTGATGACTGTCTCCCTCTTCTCTGTAGCCCTCCTCAAACCCTAAGCAGCCCAGCTCCAGCAGAGGAGGCCTGGGCACAGGAATGGATTGCTGCTAGAAACCTGGCTTCAGCTGGAGGAAGTCAGAAGGCTGGGCTGATGGCCGCGCAGACTGAGCTGTGTTTATCCAGGAAAAGAGGTAGGACGTAGGCAGCAGAGGCCCCTGCCAGCACCTCCCAGGAGGACTGCGCTGGGGGAGCAAGCTGGAGAGGAAGCTGCTCCCCTCTGGCTCTTAACGTGTCAGGGCCTGAGGCCAGAACCCAGAGGCGACCCACAGGTAAGGCCTGCACTCCGGGCGCGCGACCGAGAGGGTCGCGGGCTCGGATCCCAGGGCAGAGGGTCGGAACACGGTGCTCTTGGTGGCCCCGCCCAGGGGTGAGTGGCCGAGCCTTCCGGAGACCGCTCTGGGGTTGGCGGAGAATCAATGCTGCCTTTGTGCTCACTGATTTTCTAAGGAGAAAAGGAGTGGAGAGTGGGAGGGGCGACCCAACGGCCCGGCCCCGCCCCGCAGACACGGGATGCGGTAGGGCTGGGAAGCGCGGGAGCTGGAGGGTCGGGGTTACGAGGGGTGGGATTCTGTGCCCCCGGGAGGTGCCTCTCCTTGAACCAGCCCTGGGTGCCCTGAGGTAAGCAGCCAGGTGTGTCTCCTGGCTGCCAGGAGCAGAAGTGAGTCCTCTTCTGGCTTCGAGCGACTCGAGGAGGGGAGAGAGGAGCGAGAGAAGGCAGGTGGGGCTAGGACTGAAGGATGGCTCAGGCCAGAGAAACTTGCGCCGGGGCAGCCTGGCAAAGGGAGGGAGTCCAGAGGGGCGCCAGACTGGTTCCTGGAGGAAAACCCGTCTTCGAAATGGGCGGGGGAGAAGGATGTGAGCCCGCCTAGGGCGCGGTGTCCCTTCCAGGGGGTTGGGATCTGGGTCCTTTTGGTATAACTCGGTTATTATCCTATTTGTCCTAACAGTACCCTAGGGTTCTAGTGGGTGTGTTGGGCCCTCTAAAGTGAATGGCGCATCTTTAGTACCAATGGGAGAATCTGTGTACTTGGTGAGCGAGGCCCGTATCAGAAAATGTGACTGGGCCTGGTTCCCTCCATTCCTCCCCATCCTCCCAGATTTACCGCCCTTTCTTTTTATCCTCAAATAGGGGTCTGCGCCTCCAGTGGATCCGGAGACAGGGGCGCGCGGGCCGGCCGTCCGGTGTACGCCAGCATCACCCACCTGTGACTCCTCTTCGCTCCTCGCTTAGCCCCGCTCCGCCCAGCACTCCCATTTGAGACGGAATTGGGATCCTCTCGGCCCTCCGGAATTCGGAATTCCATTACCCAGCCCACCGCATGTGGCTTTTGGAAAAAGCTGGCTATAAGGTGGGGGCCACGGAACCTGGGACCCGTTGGGCGCCCCCGGGCCTGTTCTCCAAGCGTCGCGCCCCGGGCCCGCCCAGCAGCGCCTGCCCCAACGTGCTCACCCCGGATCGCATCCCGCAGTTCTTCATCCCTCCTCGGCTCCGGGATCCCGGCGGCGCAGAACCCGCGGCGCGGCGGGACGTGGCCGGGCGCTGCCTCCCCGTGGCCTGCTCGCTGCCTCACCTGGCTGGCCGCGAAGGCTGGGCCTTCCTGCCCGAGAGCCCGCACACGCGCCGGCGCGAGTCCCTGTTCCACGCGCCGCTGCCCGCCCTGGCCGAGGGGCTCCCCGCGCCCCAGCCCCGGCTGCACGTCTCCGCCCCGGACCTGCGCCTCTGCTGGGCCCCCGACAGCGACACGGCCTCGTCGCCGGACTCGTCGCCCTTCGGCTCCCCGCGGCCCGGCCTGGGCCGGCGCCGGGTGCCCAGGCCGCACTCGCTGTCCCCAGAACCCGCGAGCTCGGCGGACACCAGCCCGCACCCGCCGCGCCGCGCTGGGCCGCCCACGCCGCCGCTCTTCCACCTGGACTTCCTGTGCTGCCAGCTGCGGCCCACGCGCGAGAGCGTGCTGCGCCTGGGGCCCCGCGGCGGGCAGTTGCGGCTGTCCACCGAGTACCAGGCCGGGCCCGGGCGGCTGCGGCTGCGCCTGGTGAGCGCCGAGGACCTGCCCCGGCCGCGCTCCCGCCCTGGGAGCGGCGGCGGCGGCTGCTGCGTGGTGCTGAGGCTGCGGCCCCGCGTCCGACCGCAGGCGCAGCAGAGCCGCGTGGTCAAGTGCAGCGCCAACCCTATCTTCAACGAGGATTTCTTTTTCGACGGGCTCGGCCTGCCGGACCTGGCCGCCCGCAGTCTGAGGGCCAAGGTGCTCGACAGGGGCGCGGGACTTCGCAGGGATGTGCTGCTGGGGGAATGCGAGACGCCCCTCATTGCGCTGCTGCCCCCGCTAGGTGGGGGACTAGGTCCCGGGTCCTCCGTGGCGCCCACCCATTTCAGTCTGTAGACTGAGCCCCTGACTTCCTCAGCACGTCTCCACTGAGTCTGCCGTCCACATTCTTTCCGCCCTGCCCGGCTTGTATTTATTTTTGCTAATAAAGTGTCCGCTGTCCCTAGCCAGATCTTTCCCCTTGCTGGCACCTTACACGCTCGGGTGTAGAGCCTACCCTTCTTCCCTCTATCCCGGCCATACACGGGGGGGAAGATGCTCATTCGGACAGTCTGAGTAGAGCAGACCCTAAGCAGTGGTTCTCAAGCTTGAAGGAGCCTCAGAATCAGAAATCCTGGAAGAGCTCGTTAAATACGCAGGGCCCTGGGCTCCATCCTCAAGACATGCTCTTTCAGTAGATCTGGGCCAATTAGGTCCTAAGGTCCCCGTCCAACAGGGGCTGTGGAACAATCAGCCCTTCAGTCACTGAGTCACTCTGACAGAAACCAACACAAGCCACCCTCCACTGGGGGTCCCTTGGGGCTGCACAGAGGAAGTTAACACTCCCCTCCTGTGCCCCTCTGAAACCCACGTCTGTCCTGAAGACAGATGAAATTTCTGGGTTTTGGGAGTGAGTCAGGGGATGTCAGATGAACACAGTGCCCTTTAGCTGCAGGGCTTCCCTCTTGCATCTCCACACCTGTGCCTCCCTTGGTGGGGAGGGGGCACACCTGTGCCTCCCTTGGGGGAAGGGGCAAGTCTGGAGCCAAGAACCAGAGAGGGGCTTAGGTACCAAATGAATGAGCTATAATGTCCCAGGGATTGGGAGGTGGGAGGAGGGGTACTACCAAAGTGTGGGAACTGTTCTCAGGAATGCCAGAAGAGGCTCTTTCAGCCAGAAGGAGGTGGGGGTGGAGGGAGGTGGATAAATGTAGGTCACATCATGTTTACCTCTACCCGAATGTCCCTAACGTCAGCAGTGACCTTCTCTCTCCCTCCACCTTCCCAGAACCCGGTTCCTCTTGATTCAGACCAGGCTTGGAGGAGGAAGGGAAGAAGGGAGGTAGGCACTAGGCCAACCCAGCTTCTTTCTCCCTCCCCCTTGAGCCCTTTCTCATTTTTCTAGGTGCCAGCTGTGGCCTGCACCAGGGCTAAGCTTGTGCTGGATCCGGCAAAATCTCAGCACCTGGACATGTTAAATCCCAGCACAACACACACACACACACACACACACACACGGCTTCTTTCAGACAGCTCTCCAGTTCCTTCTCCCCTACCCAACCCTGGGGCAGAGAACTCTGCTTCAGGTGTCCACCAGGTGGTGGCATTGATCAAACAATCCTAAACGCTGACTGCTGCACATGGATTATAACTACGCCAGGAACTGTTTCAACAATTAGTCAAGCCATTTGTTCCTCCGGCACCTCCTATAAGGGTATGAATACTATGGTTATCCAACATGACCCTGGGCCTCACATAGCTGGTAAAGGGAAGATCTAGGACTCACAGAGCTAGCTAGTAAGGGAAAGAACTCAGAGAATCTGGCTCCAGTTCTGGGCTCTTAATCACTTCGCAATCATACCCCCCCACTGCCAGCTGCTGCCTCCCAAGGGGCCTCCTTCCCTAAGATGGTAGTATTGTACCCTGCCAGTTTAAAATCCTACGTTTGAATTCTGGGAGGTCTACCTGTAGATTTAGGTCTACCCCAGTATTGTATTTCTGTTTTAGCCCCCAAATCCTCCCATAAGAACCTTTGGTGAGAAACTGGATTTGATGCCCATTTGAAGGTATCTGGAAAGAACGTTAGAGGCCGTAGAACCTTCATTCATGCATTCCTTCAACAAATACTTCGGGAGGGACCGTGCCGTGGGAGGCACTGGATACAGCAGTGATTGAAACAGACATGGGAATCAGAAAAGTGACAAAATGAACTATTAAAATGTAAAGAATGCTACTTGGTGATATGTTACAGAGAAAAATAAAGCAAGAAAGGGAATAGAAAAGGGGTCAGATAAAGAGAAAGGAAGATTATAGGGACAGAAAAAGGAATTTTTTTTTTTAACCACAGTACTTTGGACCAGGTCCTGAACTTTACCTGTTATCTCAGTTCATTGTCACAACCCTTCAGTAGAGTAGATATTATTATTATTATTATTATTATTATTTTGGAGATGGGGTTTCGCTCTTGTTACCCAGGCTGGAGTGCAATGGTGCGATCTTGGCTCTCACCGCAATCTCTGCCTTCTGGGTTCAAGTAGTTCTCCTGCCTCAGCCTCCCAAGTAGCTGGGACTACAGGTGCACACCACCATTTTTTTGTATTTTTAGTAGAGACGGGGTTTCACCATGTTGACCAGGATGGTCTGAATCTCTTGACCTCGTTGTGATCCACCCGCCTCGGCCTCCCAAAGTGCTGGGATTATAGGCGTGAGCCACCGCGCCCAGCCTTAGAGTAGATATTATTATTCCCATTTTACAAAGAAGGAAATAGATCAAAGAGGTTAAGTAAGCTTGCCTGGGGATCAGCCCTGGCTGGAGGGAAGGGTTCTGACTGTGACTCCACCCAAACACCCCCACTGCAACCCAACTGCTTATCTTTGGAGACGGAGTCTCGCTCTGTCGCTCAGGCTGGAGTGTAGGGGTGCTATCTTGGCTCAGTACAGCCTCCGCCTCTTGGGTACAAGCGGTTCCTGTGCCTCAACCTCCCGAGTAGCTGGGATTACAGGCGCGCACCACCACGCCCAGCTATGAGGGGAGGCTGTGAGGAAATCCAGGGCACTACTCCCAGGAGCAGTTCACTCAGCATTTACATCCCTGAGGCTCTGTGATGGGGGCCCAGCGTTGCTGGGAACATCTTGGGAGTCAGGGGGCCAGAGGGGTGTGTGCAAAATAAGGTCCTAAGAACCCTCCAGTGTGCAGATTTCTGTGGCCCCAAAGCACTTTGATAAACACTAGTCAGAGGCCAGGTGTGGTGGCTCATGCCTGTAATTCTTTTTTTTTGAGACGGAGTTTCGCTCTTGTTACCCAGGCTGCAGTGCAATGGCGCCATCTCGGATCACCACAACCTCCGCCTCCTGGGTTCAAGCAATTCTCCTGCTTCAGCCTCCTGAGTGGCTGGGATTACAGGCACGCGCCACCATGCCCAGCTAATTTTTGTATTTTTAGTAGAGACGGGGTTTCACCATGTTTACCAGAATGGTCTCGATCTCTTGACCTCGTGATCCACCCGCCTCGGCCTCCCAAAGTGCTGGGATTATAGGCATGAGCCACCTCGCCCGGCCTACGCCTGTAATTCTAACACTTTGATAAATGGATAAATATGGGAGGATAAGGCTGGCGGATCACCTGAGCTCAGGAGTTCACCACCATCCTGGGCAACATGGCGAAGCCCCATCGCTACAAAAAAATACAAAAATTAGCTGGGGCTGAGGCAGGAGGACCACTTGAACCTAGGAGGTCGAGGCTGCGGTAAGCTGAGATCACACCACTGCACTCCAGCCTGGGTGACAAAGGGACACCCTGTCTCAAAAAAAAAAAAAAAAAAGCCACTGGTCAGGACAGGTACTATTGGCCCATTTTTACTGATGTGGTAGCTGAGGGCTGAGATTTCCCTCAGGGCCCACAGCTAGTAAATGGCAGTCCACATTCTCACAAGTGCTTCTGCTCCAAGAATTTCAGCACTCCAGCATGTCAACCCTCCTAGCCATTTCCAAGCCCATGTGACTATCTATGTTAATTGGTAGAGGAGTGGCACAAGCAGGATCCCAGAATGTTCAAGGCCAGGAGCTAGGGTCAAACTCCCACTGTTCCCTCCACCCACAGTGGCCTTTGTGACAGGAAAGGGGAGGGGTGGGGACTGTGAGATCTGGAGGCTACAGATGTTTCTAGAGCCTGGGCTGTCCTTTTTTAACGGTTGAGGCACAGCCTTTCTCTGAGTCACTCCAGTGAGTTGAGGCCTCCCCAGGCGTGGAACCCCCTAGGACCCAAAGAAAGGTTGTTCCTAATCACTGGATCAGGCATCCCAAGGAGAGGGCCCTCCAAGGATGGGGCTGGGGAAGTGTGTGCCACCGCAGGCTGCCCAGGCACCACAAGTTTTCCACCTTGACCCCCAGGCCCTCCCTGGAAGGGCAAGTTTGTGCTGAGCCTTAAGTGGTTTCTGTGGTTTGGGGGTGGGGAGGGAGGGAAAGAGAAGTTGGGGACTGCTCCCCAGTTCCAGACCACCACTGCCACCTCCCACCCCTTCCAGAGTGTTTGCCCCCAGCATGGAGATCGCCTCTGATAAGGGACTGGGCACGTGGGGGTGAAATGATTCTCCGATCCCTATCAGCCTCTTCCTTACATAAGAATGTATGTGAAGAGGAAATAAGCACTGCCCTGCTTTGAAAAGACTGATTCCTCCAGAAAAGGGGATGCGGTTGCAGCAGGAGGGAGAAAGGTTAGGCAAGAGGGGGACTTACAAAAGGGTAACCAAGGGACCTTCCTGCCCTGAGGAGAAAAAACTCAAGCTATCCATGCTTAGGGCAGGGGAGGGGTCGAGAATGCCTCGGAAGCATGTGAGGCTTGCAGGCCTAGAGGCCAGGATCCTGCCTTCTTAACCTCCAGACACTTCCTCCCCACCCTACCCAGCAGCGCAAAGCGGCACAACCAGGGGAGGCAGCCTTGCCTGCGGTGTCTGGGGATGGCGGTGTCGATCCGCAGGCATTCTGTGTGACCTCCACTCTGTGCCTGCCATTGCTGGGCAGTAAGAGGTAGTCAGGAAGGGCCCCAGGAGACCCCGAGTCAAGAGGAAGAGAGGCCTAAAGAGGAGAAAAGATAGAGAGAGGAGAGCTGGAGAAGAGTCATAGACAGGTGGGAGCCGCAGGGAGAGACAGAGAGATAGGGTAACTGCCCTCCCCTGCACTCCCACCCCCTGCATGTTGCAGGCTCCTCCTGTCAGCTGGAGGGTGCTGGGTGGGGGTGGGTGCTGCAAAGCACTTTACCTCTCACTTCAAACCTGCCCAAGGGGCAGAGCCCCCAGACAGACCAACATCCTGTTCTGTGCAGAGAAGCATATGTGGATGCGCGGACCCACATTTACCAAAACGACACGGAGATAATCAGAGCCTCAGAGGCACAGACACATACCCTCAGACTCTCAGTGCAGAAGGTCCCCAAAACTTCCCCTCCTCTTTTTCACTCCTCATCCATTGTCAATGACCCCAGCAGCTGAAAAGTCCTTCTCCACAGTCTACCTTTGTCCCTCAATCTGCAGTCATGGGGAGACACTGAGAGCCACCTAAGAACAGAGGTGCTGACGGCAGCAGAGGGTGAAGCCCCAGGGTTGGCCAGGGGTGGAGGATGGTGAGATGAGAGGACAGAAGAGGGAAGGGACAGCTGCCTGCCCTTTCCATGCCAGGTGCCACGTGCACCAGGTTGGGGGGGAGTGGGTGAGTCACGAGGCTGTGGCATGGCTGACTCCTGCTCCGCTGTTTACCAGCTGGGAATGGGAGCAGGAGGAGGTGCCAGGGAGCCTCTCTGCAGCCTGGCCCCTGGCCAGTTGCCTGTTGGGTAACCAGGAGAGCCAGGCCCAGCTAATCAAACTCTGGGCCCAGGCTGTGGAGGAGAAAAGCAGCACTAGGATCCCCAGAAGTCTTGTCCCCTTGGACCCCCTCAGAGCCTTCAGTGTGGGCCGCTCGGTCTGGGAACCTCTCCTTCTCCCAAGGAGGCCAGTGCAGCATCTCTCCTCTCCTCCTCCCCGCCATGGCTCCTCCACCTCCAGGCTGTCCTCCAGGCCTGCCACTTGCCCCAACAGATGAGAAGCACGTGGAAGCATCAGGGAGTCAGAGAGTCCAGGGAAGAGTAGCAAGGGGCAGAGGCGGGGCCAAGCAATCAGCGGCCTCAGGGAACTGAGCCGTCACTGGGAGGAGTCTGACTGCATCCTAGAGAAGAGATAGAGTCCCCCAAACCTGTCCTCCCCGCCTTTCTCCCCTCCCCATCTCCCCTACGCCTGTCACCTGTCTTAAGTAGAAATCACAGGATTCTGAAGTCATGAAGACTTCAGTCCAAATCATAGCTCACCAATGTATTGATCTTGTGTGAGTCCTTGGGCAAAACACTGTTTCACTGAGCATCTCTCTACTCAGTGATCAATCCGGAATAACGATGTTTCCCTGTGGGGGGTGTTATGAGCATTCACGCAAAGTAAGAACATGGATTTCTAAAGGCCCTGCAAAGGGCCAGCACACCGTAGGTGATCAATAAATGCTAGTTCCCTTCCTTTCTCCTGTCCTGTTTTTCTCCTCAAGGCTCCATGCACTGGGCCCCTAGTCTCTCCTCACGTCCCCTCCTGGTGCCAGGACACTCTGCCAGCCACTCCTTTCCCCTGCCTGCTGGAGGGCCAGGTGCTCCCGCCCTCTACCCTCCGCCCTCCTCCCTCCCCTGGGCCCTGCTCCCTGCCCTCCTGGGCAGCCAGGGCAGCCAGGCCGGCACCAAGGGAGCTGCCCCATGGACAGAACCCCACAGAGACAGCACCGAGGCTCACGGGGTAAGAGGCCCAAGGCCCTTCTAGCAGGTGGAAGAGACTGCCAGAGGTTCAGAGGTGGGGGGAGAGGGGAAGAGACTGGGCAATAAGTGAGGTGGAGGTTGGGACAAAAGTGCAGAGAAGAGAGCCCCAGGTTGGCAGGGAGTGCGGGAGGGTGAAACTGGAGGAGAAACAGGAGGGAGGACTGGGGAGATGATAGAGGAGGAGAAATCAGAAAAGGACAGAAATGGGAAAGGGGGAAAGCGGAGAAGGAAGGGACAGGTTGGAGGGTAGACGGGAAGGGAAGAGCTAAGTCAGGGGAACCAGATCTAGACCCAGCAGCAGGTCAGAACATGGACAGGCCCTCCCAGGTATGGGCTGCCCCAGCAGGAGCGGGGACACTGCCTCCTTGATCCAGCCTGGACCCCAGGCAGCAGGGTCTGGGAGGTGGGCTGCTCCACCTTCTGTTCATTCACCCGTAGAGAAGCCTGTCCTTTAAGGGGTGACAGACTTGGGGAGTGTGGCTGGGGAAACCACACCCTGTCAGCTGCCCACAACCGTGTAGCCTGGCACTTTCCTCCCCACTGGCCCAGGGGTATTTCATCTCTGCAGAGAATGTGGGGCACTGGGCCATCGGCAGAGAGGGACAGAAAGTCAGGCCATCTTTGGCCCCACCCATGAACCAAGTCGGGAACCCCCCAGAGCAAGATCCCAGGGGCACAGCTTGGTCAGCTGTGAGCACAGAGGAGGAACGTTTGAGAGCCAGAGGCTCAAGCTCCAGGGCCACCTGGTGGAGGAAGAACTGGCTGCCTGGGCAAGCAAGGGGAGCACCCCCACCACAGGACTGCTCTGAGGTGCAAGGCTGGAGGCCAGGAGCCGGTGCCACGTCAGGGAGGAAGCTGGGTGGGGCCAGGCAGGAGCAAGGGGAGGTGGGTGGGGCTGGGTGGGGCCTCGCCACCTCGGGGCAGTCTTTTCTCTCCCTCATCCCAGCAGAGGCCAGGCCATCAGGACACTCGCCCAGTGACCGAGGGTGGATGCCAGTGGGGAACATCAGATGCCAGCGGGGAGCATCTCCTGGGCAGAAGTGCATTTTGTGTGTGTGTGTGTGTGTGTGAGAGAGAGAGAGAGAGAGAGAGAGAGAGAGAGAGAGAGAGAGTTGGGTGTCAGGACTGAACAGCAGAAGGGAAAAAATAACAGAATAGAGTCCGAGGTTACGGAAGCCACAGGGGCATAGGACAAGGCTGAAGGGCTTTCTGAGACAGAAGACAGGCCCTGTGCTCTGTGATGAGCTGCTATGTGGATGGAGAAAATGGACCAAGGTCTGGCAGGGGAAGCCTCTTCCCAGGGGCTCCCTGGCAAGGTGTTTCATAGATGCTAACTGCATGAACGTGTGGCCCTCCCCTCAGCGGCTGCTCCTCCTGGAGGTCAGCGCATCCGTGTGACCCCATCAACCATGCTCCCTACTGCCTGGCCTCCACCCAGACCCGGCCACACAGCAGCAGCGGAGAAGGGATGCCTTCCTCTGCAGGCTGGGAGCCCAGGGAAGCCTGCCTGATGGAAGCCAGACAGGGGTCTGTGTTTGCAGCTCACCCTCCTCTTCCAACAAACATCCTCTCCCCCGACTCCCAACCCTCACATCTCTGAAGCCCTGGTGTTTCCAGGCATATATAAGCGACCAAGAGATTTCAGTCCCACCGAGATCTAACTCTGGCTGTAGGATATTTTTGTGCACCTCCAATGGACCAGATACTATGGAGGGCTCTGGAAATTACAAGTTGAACAAGACCGATGCAGTCCCTGCCATCACGGGGCTTCACAATTTGGCAGGGAAGACCCATTTCCCAGACAATGACACAATTACAGCAGTTAGATGACAGTTAGGTGACGTGGTGAGTGCCAGGAAGTAAAATGCAAGGAGCTGAGCATGTCAGCACAAGGGCAGGGGAGGGGGCGGGTATGTGGCTTCTCCAAGGAAGAGACACAATCAGAGACCTGAAGGGGGAAGAGAAGCTGTCTAGATTCAGGGGCGCAGGAGGGAGGGGCATTCCAGGCAGAAGGAGCAGTCTGGGGGAGTCCCAGAGGCAGCGAGGAGCAGGACACTTCCAGGTACCTGGAAGAGGGCCAGCGTGGGCCAAGGACAGAGGAGAAGGAGAGAGGGGCACTGCGGGAGTGGCTTGCCTGCCCTCCAGATGGCAGGCTCAGAGGGAAGGAGTGTGGCTTTGGGATCCTAGGAGTGCGGAAGGGCTTCAGCCCCTCATGGTCTTCAACTTTTGACGCCAACCCCCTCTCTTGTCTTTACAGAGCTGCTGGCTGTAAAGAAGACCCACACCTGTGAGTACGGGGTTCAGGGCAAAAAAAAAAAAAAAAAAAAAAAGGCTGGGGCATAATTAGATGGAGAAGAATTCAGCAAGGGCTCTGGGAGGGACTAAGGGTGGACAGAGGTGGAGGAGCCAGCAAAGCGAGGGAGGCGTGAGGAAACCTCAGATCAGGGCACTTCGAGGAGATGAGGAAGAACCTCAGATCGGGGCACTGCGAGGAGATGAGGAAGAACCTCAGATCGGGGCACTGCGAGGAGATGAGGAAGAACCTCAGATCGGGGCACTGCAAGGAGATGAGGAAGGACCTCAGATTGGGGCAATGTGAGGAGATGAGGAAGAAGCGTGAAGCATCAGAGGAAACATTCTAAAGAAACCGGGAGAGGAAGGCAGCAAATCACACTGCCACATGTGTACCTATGCAGCAATCTGCATGTTCTTCACATGTACTATAAAACCTAAAATGCAATAAAAAATAAATAAACCAGGAGAGAACAAAGGAAAAGAAAACTGGGAAAAGGCGAGGAGAGATGCTGGACAGAGGCAGGGAGATGACAGAGGGTGGGGGCCAACTGCCCAGCCGGGAAGGAAGGAGATGGAGGTGGGGGAGCATGTGGAGGCGGGGTGGCCTCAGGAACTCAGCCCCTTTGCCATGAGAGGTAGGGAGCCTTCACCAGGCTTTTTTTTTTTTTTGAGATGGAGTGCCATCCAGGGCTGGAGTGCAATGACGTGATCTCGGCTCACTGCAACCTCCACCCCCTGGGTTCAAGCAACTCTCCTGCCTCAGCCTCCCAAGTAGCTAGGATTACAGGTGCGTGCCACCACACCTGGCTAGTTTTTGTATGTTTAATAGAGATGGGGTTTCCCCATGTTGGCCAGGCTGGTCTTGAACTCCTGACTTCGTGATCCACCCGCCTCGGCCTTCCAAAGTGCTGGGATTACAGGCGTGAGCAACTGTGCCTGGCTTGTGCCAGGCTTTGTGGTGCTGAGCCAGGTTTGGTGTTCATCTCTGTGGTTAACACAACCTGAGGTGTGAATAAGCCCGGAGCCAGCCTGTGCAGAACTAGAGAGCAGGAGAACTTCCTCTCTGTAGGAAACAGAATGTACAGGGGCACTCTGTGTCCTGGGGGCCTGAAAGCCAGACCTCAACAGGGAAGAAGGGCACTGAAGCTCAGAGAGGACTTCCCAGTGTACACTAGTGACTAAGCATCCTCTCTAGGGACTGCTCAGCACATCAGCTCTCCTCTCCTAGTTTGTGGGAAAGGCTAGTACCCAGAGAATGCACACAGTCCCAAAGGTATGCCCATCGGCATCATGCATGCCTTCAACAGCTTCTGTAAGCATGGGTCACTGAATCGACGAGGATCCCTCCAGGGTAGGAATGGACACACCATTTCTCCATGGCTGTCCCTTGCTTGCCTTGCCAGTTCCTTCTAAGAGCTCACTGCCATCCCTCCCACTGCCACAATTGTCTAGAGCCTCTCTGTTCCAAGCAGAGACATCTCAGAGGGCAGCGCGTTGCCCTCCTCCCTGAGCTGGGCAGCCCGGGGCTGACGGCCATCCAGGATGCTGCCTCCTCCCAGGTGGGGGTTGCTTTGCTCAGCATAATCCTGATCAGTGCCTCACCTGCCCCTAGCCACAGGGCCCCACGGAAATGCTGAGCAGGGCCCCGGGAGGAAAGCGGGTCAGGGAGTGACGCGGGTGAGCTGGGGGAGGGGGGTCACGGTCCGTATGTGGGTGGGGGGAGTAGGGGGACTTTCAGAGCAGCAGAAATGGGGAGAGGTCAAACCCTATTCCTACCCTTAACCCCTGACCTCAGAAACCTCAGCCAGGACCAAACCTCCTTATCCCCCTCCCAACCCACTGGTCCTCATGTCCACACCCCATGAGTGTCGTCCTGTGGATCCAGGCTGACAGTGTCTCCCCCACTCCATGGCCTAGCTCCTGAAGCCCCAGGAAGCAATGAAAGGCCTGTGCCTGGATGAGAGGGGCTAGAGTCCCAGCAAGATCAGATACCTCTCAGGAGTTTGCCCCAAAGAATCCAGGGCACATTAAGGCCTCCCCCAGGCCGAGAGACTCTGAAAATTGGCTCCTGAATTGAGGCAACCCCAAGATGGGGGTCCAAGATGGGGAACCCAGGGAGAGCTCCCCAGACCAAGAGGGAGCCTGAATACTGAGGGACCCTGAAGAGGGACTCTCAAAGCCAGCAGAGCACGCCTCTGAAATTGTTTGACCCCTGATAAGGAGCCCCCACCAGGCCGAAAAACACTCCAGAGAGACTCACGTGCCGGGAGACCTCCCAGGCTGAGGCACCCTGAAAAGCAGATCTGAACCCTCCCATCCTTCAAATGGGATCTGAAGCCAATCTGCAGGGGCTTGAATCCTGACTCTGCCACTTACTAGCTGTGTGACCTTGGGCAACTTACTTAAGCTCTCTGTGTCTCATTTTCCTCCTTGAAACAAGGATAATGGTAGCTACTTCATAAAGTTTTTTTTTAATTATTATTCTTTTTGAGACCGACCTTCCGGCTCCCGAGTTCAAGTGATTCTCCTGCCTCAGCCCCCTGAGTAGCTGGAACTACAGGTGCTCGCCACCACGCCCGGCTAATTTTTGTATTTTTAGTAGAGGTGGGGTTTCACCGTGTTGGCCAGGCTGGTCTCGAACTCCTGACCTCAGGTGATCCACCTGCCTTGGCCTTTCACAGTGCTGGGATTACAGGCCTGAGCCACCGCCCCTGGCCCACATAAAGTATTTTGTGAGGATTAGATAATCCACATAAAACATTGAGAACCATTTCTGACACATAACAGTCAGCGCATTATTATGATTATGAGTGATGGTGACGACGACCATTATCTACACTCCAATTTCAGCAGTTTGGCTCCTAAGGAAATTTCTCATTTCCTTCTGTGGACCGTGGGTATTCGCCTGATGATTATTACTGCTTCTATCATTTCCGTGTATTCCCCAGGGCAAGATGTACGTGGTGTCTGCAGGGAAGAGCATGGGCGTGGAGGTGGTGGGACAGACCCCCAGGCTGCACCACACTGGGCATGACTGTTGGCAGTCCACAGGGTGTCAGGTGGCATATGCCACCACCCCGGGGAAGACATCCTGTGACTTACCTCTGAAAACATCCCTGTCCCTGAAGTCACCTGGCAAAGAGGGTCAGGCTCGGGAGGTCCTCAGTGGGAGGAGGAGTAGAAACCTGGCCCCAGACTCTTGTGAGCTCCATTCTGGCTCCCCAGCCAGAACTACCCTGGCGGGTGGAAACAGCTTTTACTGCGTGTGGCTGTCGCATGTGGTTTTGGAATTTTCCAACGCCCCCTACGATTGGCTGCCCCTCCCCTCACACCCTGCCCCAGGCCCAGATTGGCCACGTGGGGCGCCTGTCATCCTACTCACTGCACCCCTTTGGGGGTGGGGTGGGGGGTTGTCACTTGGCCACCTGTGTGGTGCGGAGCTTAAACCCCCCAGCCCAGAAGCACTGGGGGAGAACTAGGTGCAGAGCTTCAGGCTGAGGCGCTGCTGAGAGGGCCTCACCCCGCCTCTGCTACCAGCTGCACCCCACTCCTGGACCACCCCCTGCTGAGAAGGACAGGGACCCAAGGCCAGCAGAGCCAAGGCTCAGTCATGAGAAGTAAGTGAATGGGGCTACCTGGGGGCGGGAGAGTCTGGACCCCTCCGGAAAGGAGGATGTCTTGGGAACAGTGTGAGCAAAGCTGAGTGCTCTTCCCTGGCAGGGTGTGTCCCAGTCAAGGTCAAGATCTGTTGGGAGATGGGTGGAGCAGCTGGGGAGTCCTGCTGGCCAGGCGGTTCCCTGACAGCAGCGACGCTAAGAGGACTGTTGAGAACTCCTGAGTTCCGAAAAGAACCTCCGAGAGTATCTGAGGTACCCGGGCCCCTCTTTCTACAAAAAGACTGAGCACCCAGGAGGCTGAGTACTTCACCCAAGGTTACACAGCTGGTATCTGATGGAGGCTGGTAATTACTAGGGGCCCTGAATGCACTCTCCTGGCCCCTGTTACAGTGTTTCCCTCTGTGCCTCCAGCCTGCTTGTGAGTAGAAGGAGGCCAGAGCGGCTGCTGTGCCTTGAAGCAACAGGACCGCCAGAGTCAACTGAGGTCGGCAGGCAGCAGGGCTCAGAAGCCCCGCATCCAGGCCTCAGAGGCACCAGGCTTTCTGCCCAACCTAGGGGCATGAGGACTAGGTGGGATCCCATCAGGGTGCACCGGGGTGCGTGCCTGCGTGTGCGTGTGTGCGTGCACCTGTGTGTGCGTGTGCATGTGTGTGTGCGTGTGTGTCTGTGTGTGTGTGGTTCTTCAGGGTCAGTGGCCCATTTGATGGGGGAAGCAAGGCAGTGGAGATGGGATTGGGAAGACCTCAGCCTCACCTTCTTCCTGTCTTGGAGCCCTGGGCCAACACCTGATGGGCAGATGTCTGGGGTTCCTGTGCCTTCCAGCAGACCAAGAGTGGGCAACCTCAGGAAGTCCCCTGTAATTGTTGTGAAGGGAAGCCAAGGAAGCCAGAGGAGCTCTCGGAGCACAGGGTGAAGGAGGAAAAGGGAAGCCCCATGCCCCTATGGCTGAGGCCTGAGGCAGCCCCAGCTTCAACCTGAGCTCTTCCCACAAGACACAGAAGGGGGGCCATACTGAGTCCTGGAAAGACCCCTGCACTGAGAGTGTCAGACCAGGCACTTGTGCCACCTGTCACTGGCTAGCCATAGAGACTTAGACAAGCCAAGTCACTGCGTGCGTTCCGGTCCACCATCCACAAAACAAGGGAGCTGAATTTTAAGATAAAACAACAAAACCGGGCCGGGCGCGGTGGCTCACGCCTGTAATCCCAGCACTTTGGGAGGCCCAGGCGGGTGGATCACGAGGTCAAGAGATCGAGACCATCCTGGTCAACATGGTGAAACCCCGTCTCTACTAAAAATACAAAAAATTAGCTGGGCATGGTGGCGCATGCCTGTAATCCCAGCTGCTCAGGAGGCTGAGGCAGGAGAATTGCCTGAACCCAGGAGGCGGAGGTTGCGGTGAGCCGAGATCGTGCCATTGCACTCCAGCCTGGATAACAAGAGCGAAACTCCGTCTCAAAAAAAAAATACCAACTATGGAGAGTCTCCCAGTTCCAAAGGCCCAGGGCCAAGAGAGAAGCCAGTGCCCTGAGGCAGGCATCCTCAAGGGTGGTTCTCCCAGACGATAGAAGGAAGGGAAGCCAAGGAAAAAATGAGACTTCCACTTCTGTGATGGGGAGATGGGGACTGAGGCCACAGTGCAGGCGTATGAGCTGCGGTGAGGAGGGCTGGGGAGAACAGCCAACAGCTTCCACACAGAGGAAAGCTCCCCTCGGAGCTTCAGTTTCCCTTGTAGCTTCTTTCTATTAGCAGCAAATGCTGGCAGATTGGTCTTTCCAGAAATGGCCCCAAATGTGCAAATCAACCCTGAAAGGCAATCACTGGGTATGCTTCTAGTGGGAGCAGAGCAGAAGTTCCCAGCAGGGGCTGAGGGAGACCTTGGCCAGCTCTCCATCAGATCCACCCCTAGCACACACACAGAGCCCCACCCAGGCTGGGAGGTAGGAGAGGAGGCCTCTGACAAGGGTCAGTACCACTGTTCCTTCTCACTTGGACATTCACAGGTATCTCATAGCCCCAGGTTATCCGACCCCAGTGAGTGCCAGCCATCACCAGTCCCACCAACCACTGAGGATGAGAGTCAAAACACGTGGGACTTAGGACTGTGACACACCCAGAGACCAAGGGCCCAACACACAGGAGCAGAAACACATCAAGAAATAAGGAGGGAAGCAGAGACCCGACTCAAAGGGCAGGTTTCTGGAAGACCTGAGGAGAGAGTGATGCCCAGATGGAAGTGTGAATGGAGAAAACAGGAACAGAGCCAAACGCACAGAGGTGTGGCCGGGCGCGGTGGCTCTCACGCCTGTAATCCCGCTTCCGGAGGTTGAGGCTTGAGACCAGGAGTTTGAGACCAGCCTGGGCAACAAAGTGAGCTCCTGTCCCTACAAAAAAAAGTTTTTTGATTAGCTGGACATGGTGGTGTGTACCTGTAGTCCCAGCTACTCAGTAGACTGAGGCAGGAGGATCATGAGCCCAGGAGTTCAAGGCTGCAGTGAGCTATGATCAGCGTCACTGCACCTTAGCTTGGGTGACAGCCTAAGAGTCTCTCTCTTTTTTTTTTGAGACAGAGTTTCGCTCTTGTTACCCAGGCTGGAGTGCAATGGCGCGATCTTGGCTCACTGCAACCTCCACCTCCTGGGTTCAGGCAATTCTCCCGCCTCAGCCTCCTCAGCCTCCTCAGTAGCTGGGATTACAGGCATGTGCTACCATGCCCAGCTAATTTTTTGTATTTTTAGTAGAGACGGGGTTTCACCATGTTGACCAGGATGGTCTCGATCTCTTGACCTTGTGATCCACCCGCCTCGGCCTCCCAAAGTGCTGGGATTACAGGCGTGAGCCACCGCGCCTGGCAAGACTCTGTCTCTTAAACAAACATGAAGGTGTGAAGCCCAGAAACAGAGCTGGAGTGCAGAAGGTCACAAGGCACACAGACACAGGGAGAGGCAGAGAGAAAGGAAGAGTAGAAGGAAGACAGGAAGAGTAGAGGGAAGACAGGGAGACACGGGGTCCAGGAAAGTGGTAAGGTGCCCTCTGACAAGGATGGCACCAGCTCCCTGCCATCCGACCTGCTGCTGTCAAGTGGAGGGAATGCGTCTGTGCACCAAAGAGACTCCCAGCCAGCCAGAGGGAGGGTAGCCCAATAGGCACTAAGGCCCTGGCATTAGGCCTGGATGGGGAGGTGGGAGGCCAAGGGGTGAAAGGTCACTGGCTGTGTCCTGATCTTTCTTAGGTCTGGTGGTGATCATGAGGAAAAGCGGGCCAGGAAGGACTCCAAGTCCCCAGGGTGCACAGATCTCACCCTGAGAGCCCAGGGCCATCTGAGGACTCTGTGAAGGATTTCCTCCTTCCTTGCAGCAGTCCAGCGCCCTTCTCTTTCCCCTTCTTCCCATTCCTAATAGAAATGCCAAACATCTCGAGCCCAAGGCACTAGACTTTGAAAGCACTCAGCAGGTCCCAGCACAGTGAAAATATGTGGTCCCTACCAGGGGCGCCTCCTGCTCCCCAGCCTCTGTGCTGCTGATTCTAACAGGGAACCCGACTTTCTAAGGGCTAGGGGCTCCCCCAGGCCCCTGTTCCCATATGGCTAGTCCTTTCTGAGGTCTCACCTCCACGCCTGCTGCTGCAGTGCAGCCCCTTGCCTGAGGCTCTGAGGCTGGGAAAGGATGGAGATGTCTATTTTGGGGGAGGGACAGTAACAAGGCAGGGCCTCAGGGCCAGAGCCGAGGTCTTTCTGGGTCCACTACCCTCCCGGAGCAGCAAAGGTACTCTGGGAAGGGGGACAGACGGCCCTGGAGGTAGGGAAGGCACCGGCGGTGACGTCTGGGCTCCCACTCCTCAGAGCTTCCTCCTGGTGATTCATCCCCTCCCCCATTCGCTGGTTGTTTTCACTGCCTTTCTCCAGTCCCAGACTGCGGGGGTGGCGGAGGCACCAGGAGGGGGTTTCGGGTGGCTGGCTGGCTGTCATTCATGGCTTTTCAAAACCCCAGACTCTCCCTCGCCCACCTGAGTTTTAGCTTCACTATTTTCTCAGCCCAGGATTTGGGTGTTTCAGCACTAAATTCTCACCAGGAGCTTCGGGGAGGGCCCTGGTCCGGGCTGGGGGTAGCGTTCGCCAGGTAGAACCGCGTCTCCCCGGCCCTCACCCAGCCCTCCCCCTCCAGCTCCCGTGTGGTGGCACCCACCACCTTGGTTTCCAGCTTTGCAGAAGCTGGGGGAACTGATGGCTGAGAAAGGGGGGAGGCTGGTGACAGGTTGGGGTGTGCGAGGGACCCCTAACTGGAGCTGTGGTCTCAGTGGGGATTGAGACGAGAGTTCTGGCTGTGGTGAGAGGAGGGGCCCAAGCTAATTGTTATGCTACCATGCCCAGCTAATTTTTTGTATTTTTAGTAGAGATGGGGAAGGAGATGCATTCCTCTTTCTCACTCATTCATTCATTCTGCAAACAAAGGCATAGAAGATGTATGCGCACCCCGTCTATACCCTAAAGGGGCTGTGGTGTTCCCGAGGAGTCCCCAGGAACCCTGTTGGGATATATGCCGTCCCACTTGGCCTTTAGAGAAAGGGGTAAGGGCAGGAGGAGGCTGGGACCACAGAGGAAGCATTGGGACATAGGAAAAAATATCTCTTGGGATCTTTATATACACAGGAGTCCTGGCTTCAGCTCTGTGGGTTACGTCTGTGAATTCCGTTCCTAGACCAGCACCCTCCTCACACTCTTCCCCCTGCAGCCAATAATGATGTCCGCTAACCAGTTCTCCCGTGTGCATTTGGCCACCTCATCCTCATAGAGTATACAGCTTAAGGGTTGAAGTCACTGACTCCGGAGTTACAGAGATCTGGGTTCAAACGCCAGACCTGCCACTTCTGACTCTGTGACGTTAGTCAAGCTGCTGCTTCTCTCTGGGATGTTTTCTCGTCTGTAAAACGAGGCTCATAATAGCAGGGCCTACTTCACAGGACTGTTGTGATCATTAAAGGAAAATGCATGTCAAGCCTGGCACAGAGTAAGAATTCAGCCAAGGCTTGTGTCTATCATTATCCTTCCTCCCTAGTCAATATCCAGCGGAGAAAAGGGAGCAAGAAAGAGAGGCAAGGAAAATGCCCCGCTCTAGACTGACAAGGCACTGCGAAGAGATGACGACCCCGGGGTTCCTTGGTCTGAACCCATTCTCTGCCATGACGGTGGGGGGTGGTTCTGGGGTTTGAGGGGAGAGATCCCCCTGGGTGGCAACCCCTCCCCTGCTCCTACCACTTCCTCTCTGTGGCATAGGGCACCTGGACAGGGCTCAGGGTTGGCTTCCTAAGCTGGCACAGGGCCAGGCTCTGGAAGTACTGAAAGAGCACTATCACTGAATCTCACAGCTGTGAGAGGCACGATTAGAGGAGGATGGAGGACTTTGCTCCTACCGTATTTCCCCTCCTAGAAGGAGCTCCTAGGATGTTCCTGGGGGTGCTTCAGTCTCTGAAGCAGTCCAGAGGAGACTCAGTTTCTTTTTCTAGTATTGTCTCAGAATGCAGTTTTAGAGGTCACACTGGATGGCAGAAAACATACAAGAATGAGCTTGGGAAAAGATCGCCAACCCTACCCCCACTCCCTGGAAGGAGCAGCCTGGCCAAAGGGCAGGAACAGGGACTAAGTTCTTGCTTCTCAAAGTATAGGCTGAAGACCAGCAAGCTTAGGCACGAAGAGCTGACCAAGTGCGGGATGTGAGTCCCCCCTCCGATCCCCGGGTGATCTCGTTTGAGAAGCAAAAGGCCATTGTCATTCAGTCATTCGATGATTTAAGGCGCTGGCATGTGCATGTGGGCGTCTGTCTCTCCTTTTGGAAGCATGTGGAATTGGAGAGTTTTCTTGTGGTGAGTCTCGGGAGAGAGCTACAGTGAGGGGGCTGCAGGTGAGATTCAAAGATCTGTCCAGGACGGCAGGCGAGGGTAGAGTTAGGGCCGCACGGGAGCCACAGTGCAGGGGCTGGTTTGAGCTTCCTGACCTTTGCTTGGCTCTAGTTCCTGGCACTGGCAGGCCCTTAGATGGTAAGTTCCTGGCAGGCCTGGCTCCTGGGCAACAGTTTGAGTAATCCTGTGATTACTCAGCTCCTTCTCCCCAATCTGGGTTCCCACCACCTGCTGCTTCAGGGACGTGTCTCCAGGGGTAGCTTTTGAAGGTGAGTTATCATTAGAGTTGTTTTCACCTCCTATTGCCACCCCCCAACCAAGTCTACCAGTCCCCTTCCCGTTCTCCCCCACCCCTTCTCCACAAGTAACGCACACACACTCATATACACAGCACTGGTGTTTTCTTTTATTTTTTTTTGTTTTTCGAGACGGAGTTTCACTCTTGTTACCCAGGCTGGAGTGCAATGGTGCGATCTCGGCTCACCGCATCCTCCGCCTCCTGGGTTCAGGCAATTCTCCTGCCTCAGCCTCCCAAGTAGCTGGGATTACAGGCACGCGCCACCATGCCCAGCTAATTTTCTGTATTTTTAGTAGAGACGGGGGTTTCACCATGTTGACCAGGATGGTCTCGATCTCTTGACCTCGTGATCCACCTGCCTCGGCCTCCCAAAGTGCTGGGATTACAGGCTTGAGCCACCGCGCCCGGCCAGCACTGGTGTTTTCTTTCTGAGGTTTGGGTAGATGGAACTGAAGGGGGTACAGGTGGCAGGGGAAGGGCGGGGAGCATGACTAGAGAGCCTGAAGTGCTGAGGGGGAATGGGTTGGGCAGAGGCCAGGATCCAACTGTGGATTCTTCGTGTTTCCGTGTTTCCCCAGCCGTCTCTCCATCCCTAGGTCCACGTCTCTGTTTTTCCCTGTCCCAAACCTCTTGGTGTCTCCAGCTCAGTGAGGCTGGGGGGTCTGACATTCTAGCTCGGAGCCTCTGGCCCTGTGTGCCTGTCTCACTGTGTACCCCCTGGGAGGATGGAGGATGGGCTGAGCAAGTGGCTGGAGTCCAAGACTTTGGTGTCCTCTAAACATGGGTATTTGCAAAGGGGGGTCCTTGACTGGCCGCATCTTCCTGTGAGAAGGTCAGGGTCTTGGTGACACTGTTGTGAGGTTCCTAGGGCCAGGAGCAACAGTGGGTCAGGCGTGGGCAGGGAGATGTGTCTGGGGTCACCCATGTGGTCAGCACACACGCACGCACGCGGATGTGGCTCTTGGAGAAGGGAAGAGGCAGGGAGGCCTGTGGTTGACTGCTGGGCCAGAGCCCGAGTTCCCACTGTGGCTTGGCCTAATCTCCCTCCCGCTTACTTTTTTGGGTGGCCTACGTTGGTTTCTCCCGTCTCTGGTCTTAGGCCACTGAAGAGAGATGCCGCAGCATTGGAGAGGGAGGTGTCGGGGAAGAACAGAGTCCACAGGGCCCGAGTGCTCCTCCCAGCCTTGCCATGCCCACTGGTCTTCTTGGCCTGACCTCTCCTCGGGAGTGACTTGAATACACAGTGCTTTCCATGGGTGATATCATGTCATTACTCGCTGCTGCCTACAACCACCCCATGGACAGGCAATAATACCTTTATCCTGATCTTACTGACAAGAAAATGCAGGTCTAGAGGGAGAATCTAAGTGACTAGAAGTGTGAGTGCCCCCACATTTTCTGTCCCTGTTCCAGGCACCCAGTGCCCTCTTATTCTTTCTTCCCCTCCATGCTTTGAAATCTGCTGTTAATTCACTGGAAAGAATCTGGAAAACTCACTTACCTGGTCCTGGGGGGACCACAGTTTACTGTGTGAGCACTGGAAGCTTGCTGCCAGGGAGGCAGGTGTGTCTGGGGGTGGGGGGAGGAATCGAGTGCCAACGAAGGGATTTCAGATACCCATGTGCTCCGTCACCATGAGGAGGCAGCTATTGCCTCTGACTCACCCTAAGACTGGCTTGAAGGATGATGGTTTAAGAATGATGGAAATAATATTTTGAGGAATGGTGGGCAAGCCATGGTCTCCCTACCCACTTCACATCAACAGGCCCTACATGTGACCAGCGGACAGGCCAGGGACTGGAGGGGAGTTCACAGCAATGAGCATTCGCTCTCCAGAGAGGCTGCCCTTCCTTTTGCCCCTTCAGTGGGAGACATGTCATAGATGAAAAGGGGCTTTGGCCCTTCTCTTCACTTTTCTGGCCTGCTCTGCCCCCAGAGCTCCCCACTCAGAGGGGAAGCAGCAGGTCAGTGATGGTGGAAAAGAGACATACATGCTCTGGGAAGTGCTAAAAACACCTAAAGTTACCAGGGATCCCAAGCTTTGCCCAGCTACCTTTCAAGGATGAGCTGGGAGGAGGCCTCCCATGGTCCCTCCAAGCTCAGCAGAGAGCTGTGGGCATTAACAGGGAGGGGGCAAAGTGGAGATGAACCTAGGGGCAGCAGCAGACCACAGAGGTTGGGGAGCAGGTACAGGTTAAGTGAGTTCAGAGGGAGAGAAAACCTGGGGTCCTAGCACCCCATGAGCAAACGCTAACATACAAATATGCACGTGTGTACGCAGGAGCAACCAGATATCTTTCCTCAGAGGCTCACAAATGACACATACTTTTCATGCATATGCACACGCACAAGCACACCTTCAAACATGCCCACTGATATGTGTACCCCAAAAGACAGGGACACAGAACAGCGTAATGGAAAGCTCAGGGGAACTGGGAAATAGACCCAGCTCTCAGGCAAACTAGCTTGTGACCCTGGGCCAACCGCCTTGCCTCATCTGGCCTAGTCTTTCGTCAGTAAATGAGGAGGTTAAATGAGATGGTCTCCGGTCTCAGCCAGTTTTCACATTGATGATTGATATTCACACAAATGGACACAGGTGTCCTTGTACGAACAGCATGCACACTCAGACACACGGATGTACACAAAGCCACCCTCTCTCTGCTCTCGGGCCTAAGAGCCTTAGAGTTCTGGTTAATTCTTTCCCTGGGATCTCAGGCCTCCAGCAGAGCTGGGGTGTTAAGCCCTGGTCTCCTGGGCTCCTCCCTGCCCCACACCCATCTCTGTATCGCCCCTCCCTGAACCTTCACTGCCTGGCTAGGAAGGGCTGGCATCTCTGCCTAGTCCCCCCATTGTACGTTGTCTTCCTGCCATACCCTACCCTCTGTCCATGGGAGCTGAGCCCCAGTGGGGGAGGGAGGCACAGAGGAAGCCCCTTGGGCGGGAAGCAGGTGTTGTGAGGCAGTGAGGAGTCCTGTGTCCCAAGGTGGGAGGGAGGCAACTGGAGCTTTTCAACTTCAAGGGCTGAGCAGGTGGCCTCTCTGCAGCTGCTTTCTCTGCCTCCATAGCACTGACACAACTCCTGGCTGCCCCTTGACACTCCCCTCCTCTGTGAAACAAACACAGCTTCCTTACACCCTTTGCTGAGAAGCATTTGGCATTTCACTTCCCCTTCCATTTTGCAAGAGGGAAATAGCAAGCTGGAGCTGGTTGGAGAAGTTGGGGAAGCACCAGGTACCTGTAGCTGCAGCCCAGGTACGCAGTGGTTGAATGCAGGAAAGGCTCCTGGGTCGACCTACTTCTCCTTCTCTCTTCCAGCACAAATTGAAGTGATCCCTTGCAAAATCTGTGGGGACAAGTCATCTGGGATCCACTACGGGGTTATCACCTGTGAGGGCTGCAAGGTGAGTGGCAGGCATGTGTATGTGTGTGTGTGCTACACACACGCACACACACAGTGTCTCCTTAGGGATAAACAAGGGGCTTAATGGCCTTTGTTCTGACTCCAGGGATGATCTCCTGGGCAGCCAGGGAAATCCCTGAGTAGCGCAGCCTTGGAGGGCCCTCAACATGGGGAGGGCCCTGTCTTAAGCTGGAGAAGTGACAACAGGACAAACTGCAATTACACAGATAGATGGAGGAGCGAGAAAACTGACAGGTCACGGAATGTAGAAAAGAGCTTGTGGGCTGGAGGCCTTTGGGAGTGGGCTGGGCCTGGCCAGGATAAGCAGTCTTGCTCTCTACCTGCTGTCCCCAGGGCTTCTTCCGCCGGAGCCAGCGCTGTAACGCAGCCTACTCCTGCACCCGCCAGCAGAACTGCCCCATCGACCGCGCCAGCCGAAACCGATGCCAGCACTGCCGCCTGCAGAAATGCCTGGCACTGGGCATGTCCCGAGATGGTAAGGCCAAGTGGACAGCCCCCTGGGGTTTTCCTGGTGTCTCCAGAGGGGCAGTCCAGCCTGCTGAGCTAGACAAGGCTTAACCTGCAAGACGGCCCGTCCTCTGGCCTGCTCTCCATTCCTCCTCCTTACCGCCCCTTGTCTCCTCCCCTGCAGGGATGGGTGGGTCACCCCCATCAAAGTCCTTTGGAGTCCCCAGCTTTCAGCTTTGCTAGAACAGACCTCCTCTTTCCAAGGTCCCATACCTCTTCATCTCTTCTGACTTGGGATGGATTCTCCTCACTCCGCTCCCCTCCGGCCCAGCTCCCATGCAGCCCTGGCACCTTCCCCTGCTATCCCCTCACTCCGCTCCCCTCTGGCCCAGCTCCCATGCAGCCCTGGCACCTTCCCCTGCTATCCCCTCACTCCGCTCCCCTCCGGCCCAGCTCCCATGCAGCCCTGGCACCTTCCCCTGCTATCCCCTCACTCCGCTCCCCTCTGGCCCAGCTCCCATGCAGCCCTGGCACCTTCCCCTGCTATCCCCTCACTCCGCTCCCCTCCGGCCCAGCTCCCATGCAGCCCTGGCACCTTCCCCTGCTATCCCCTCACTCCGCTCCCCTCTGGCCCAGCTCCCATGCAGCCCTGGCACCTTCCCCTGCTATCCCCTCACTCCGCTCCCCTCCGGCCCAGCTCCCATGCAGCCCTGGCACCTTCCCCTGCTATCCCCTCACTCCGCTCCCCTCTGGCCCAGCTCCCATGCAGCCCTGGCACCTTCCCCTGCTATCCCCTTGTAGTTCTAGCTCCCTTCCTAGTCCCCCGTTCCCATTCTTGGACACGGGACTGTGGCCAGGAATGGAAACAGAATTGGCCTGAGAACAACCAGAGGGTGGTCAGAGTGGGGGAGGGCTCATGTTCCTGGTGCCTTATCCACCTCCTCACCCTCCACCCCCTCACCAGCCCCCCCACCCCCCCCACCACAGAAGGAGCCCAGGGCGGAGCTCCTTGAGGTGATGAGGAGCCAGAAGGAGCCCGTCAGCACTTTTCAGTGCCCAAAATAACAAAGCAAAAGGAAGCATGCAGGGGTGCAAAGGGGCAGGCGGGGCGAGGGGCTGTGCCCCCACACCTGGGAGGGGCGGTGGGGGGAGGGAAAAGGCAGGAAAGAGAGAGCAGAAGAGGATGTTCAGAAACAAGCCGCGGAGCCCAGGTTGGGCTGTGGTGAGTATCTAGGTCACCAGGGAGCCTGCAGGCCTGACCACAGGGAGACCTGCGTTCTCCGCTCTCCTCTTCCTCCGACCCTCCCAGAAAGGTGAGGTGACCCCAATACAGCCTGAGGCCCTCTGCTCGACCACCCCCAGCCCCAATATCGGGAGGCCAGAATCCCCAGCCTAGACTCATTGCTTGAATTCTGCCATGATTCAAAGCTGGTTTAGAACTTAGAAGATTTCGCTTAGAAGATTGAAACGGCAGGCTGGACAGACCCCAGAAGCAAACAAGAGTAAAGGGGGACGGGGTCTGGAGCGTAAGTTCCCTAAAGGCTGGAGAGGCGGTGCTTGGAGTCAGCCATTCAGAGAGCAGCAAGCTAATCCTTTCATACCAAATGGCTGCTGACCCTGCCCTGTGCCATGTTCTCCTGCCTCATAAACCCCTGGTCCCTGGACCTCTTTCAGCTGTCAAGTTCGGCCGCATGTCCAAGAAGCAGAGGGACAGCCTGCATGCGGAGGTGCAGAAACAGCTGCAGCAGCAGCAACAGCAGCCAGCTGTCAAGGCCCCTCCAGCAGGGGCCCAAGGAGCAGACACCCTCACCTACACCTTGGGGCTCCCAGACGGGCAGCTGCCCCTGGGCTCCTCGCCTGACCTGCCTGAGGCCTCTGCCTGTCCCCCTGGCCTCCTGAGAGCCTCAGGCTCTGGGCCCTCATGTTCCAACGACTTGGCCAAGGCAGGGCTCAATGGGGCCTCATATCATCTTGAATACAGCCCTGAGCGGGGCAAGGCTGAGGGCAGAGAGAGCTTCTACAGCACAAGCAGCCAGCTGACCCCTGACCTGTGTGGACTTCATTTTGAGGAACACAGGCATCCTGGGCATGGGGAACTGGGACAGGGGCCAGACAGCTACGGCAGCCCCAGTTTCCGCAGCACACCGGAGGCACCCTATGCCTCCCTGACGGAGATAGGTGAGCAGCTGGGAGGCAGAGAGGGTGGTAGAGATGAGAGCGGGGCTTTCACCAGCACCCTATATCAAACAAACATGAGCACGAGCGAATGAGGGGTCCTGGACGAGGGGCGGAGGGAGGAGGTGGAGCAGGATCTGCCAGGCCAAGAAGTGCCCTTTTGTGGGTAGGGGTAGGAGCTGGCCGAGATCAAGCCGTGCCTTCCTTCTCCGGCCCCAGAGCACCTGGTTCAGAGCGTCTGCAAGTCCTACCGGGAGACGTGCCAGCTGCGTCTGGAGGACCTGCTGCGGCAGCGCTCCAGTATCTTCTCCCGGGAGGAGGTGACTGGCTACCAGAGGAAGGTGAGGCCAGGAGACCTGCAGGAAGGGAACACATCCCACCCCCACGGGGAGAGCTCAGAGACGGCTACCTGCACACGCCTGGTACTGGGGTAGGGCGGCACATCACAGACACAGCCTGGCCAACAAGCACATGCACAGCTTCTGCGTACGGCTGTGAACGTGTGTGTGTCTGTCTACACCCCAGCAGATGATGAGAGCATGGTCGTGAACGTGTGTGTGTCTACACCCCAGCAGATGATGAGAGCATAGTCATGAACGTGTGTGTGTCTGTCTACACCCCAGCAGATGATGAGAGCATAGTCATGAACGTGTGTGTCTGTCTACACCCCAGCAGATGATGAGAGCATGGTCGTGAACGTGTGTGTCTGTCTACACCCCAGCAGATGATGAGAGCATGGTCGTGAACGTGTGTGTCTGTCTACACCCCAGCAGATGATGAGAGCATGGTCGTGAACGTGTGTGTCTGTCTACACCCCAGCAGATGATGAGAGCTTGGTCGTGAACGTGTGTGTCTGTCTACACCCCAGCAGATGATGAGAGCTTGGTCGTGAACGTGTGTGTCTGTCTACACCCCAGCAGATGATGAGAGCTTAGTCATGAACGTGTGTGTCTGTCTACACCCCAGCAGATGATGAGAGCATGGTCGTGAACGTGTGCTCGTCTGTCTACACCCCAGCAGATGATGAGAGCATGGTCGTGAACGTGTGTGTGTCTGTCTACACCCCAGCAGATGATGAAAGCTTTTTCTTAGTCCTTGCCTATTAAAATTGTACCTGGCCTTTATCCTCCCTCCTCTGCCACGCAGACCTTGGTGCACTCTCCTTCCTCTTCCATCAACAATAACGCTAAGCAGAACCCCAATTACTCTGCCAGGCATCGTGCTAAATGCTTGCCGTAAATTATCCTCAGCCCCTACCACAACCAACCGATGAGAGTAGCATTTATTCCTATTTTTAGTAGACAGAAACTGAGCCCAGTGGGGTTAATAGATTTCCTCAAGGTCACAAAGTGATGGAACCAAAGTCAAATTCAGATCCATTGGGCTCCAAAGTGTATGCTGCCTCTTTGCTCACACTCTCATGATACCGCCCGCTCTAAACACATTCATTCAGCACTTCACATATGCTTCTCTACGTTACTGAGACCTTGGGCATAACCTTTGTGGGGGAAGGGGCAGCAGTATGTCCTTCTCACCTCAACAAGATGTACCTTGTTGGAGGGCAAAGCTGTGTCTCATGCTTTTTTTATTCCCTCACAACAGCTAACTTGGTGTCAGCAGCCAGTGGGTGCTCAGTGTGTGGGACCCACTGGCGGGAATCGCCCCAAGTGCATTTGTGCTAAGACCAGGCTTTTCAAAATGCTAGTTCAGAACATGGGAGTTCAGAACTTAATCCCTTGCAGTTTATTAGGTGGGGCTCCAGGGCTCAGGAGGATCATGGGGCCACACAGAGCGCCACAGCGGGACCCTCCTCCCTCCCTGCAGTCCATGTGGGAGATGTGGGAACGCTGCGCTCACCACCTCACCGAGGCCATTCAGTACGTGGTGGAGTTCGCCAAGAGGCTCTCGGGCTTTATGGAGCTCTGCCAGAATGACCAGATTGTGCTCCTCAAAGCAGGTGCTCAGGGAAGGGTGGGCAGACCTGGGGGCAGGGGGACAGAGCACGCCACGGGGCAGAGCCAATGGAGGGAGGTGGCTTAAGGTAACCAGGGGGACGGAGTCAGCCCCTGGCTTTGCTTGACACTATCTCTGCACCTTCTCTCCCCACCCGCCAGGAGCAATGGAAGTGGTGCTGGTTAGGATGTGCCGGGCCTACAATGCCGACAACCGCACGGTCTTCTTCGAAGGCAAATACGGTGGCGTGGAGCTGTTCCGAGCCTTGGGTGAGGGGCAGGGGGAAAAGAGAGAGAAGATTCTGACGCCAACCCCAGGGAAAGCCTTGTGACTTAGGGCACCCTCTTTTCAGGGCAAACTGCCCCCTCTGCTCTAAACACCACGGGGGCGGTGTCCTCGGGCACCATCGCTCCAGCCGCTCTCTCACACTTCTCATTTGCACTCCATCAGGCTGCAGCGAGCTCATCAGCTCCATCTTTGACTTCTCCCACTCCCTAAGTGCCTTGAGCTTTTCCGAGGACGAGATTGCCCTCTACACAGCCCTTGTTCTCATCAATGCCAGTGAGTGTCGCTGGGCTTGGGTAAAGGACGTTCAGGTGGCAGAGGCATAGCAGATACTGAAGAAGAGTCTAGACCTTCAGATGTGGTTAAGTCTGGGAAATTGCTTTAAATAGGAGAATGTGCCCTACTCAATAGCGCTATGAAATAAAATGAGTTAAAATAAAGATTCAGAAGAGCCTCAGAGAGGGACACGAGCAGCATAAGGTGGGGTTGTGGGAAGTGGGGAGAAATGAGGCTGAGAGGAAATGAGCCCCTTCCCTGATAAAAACGTGTCTGATTGTTAGTCTGTGGCAGTGATTTCATTGTAGCACACATTGGAATCGCCTGGGGAGCTTTAAAAACTATTGCTGCCTGGGTCCCACTTCCAGAGATGCCAGTGCACACGTGCTCCAGGACTTATGATGGGGTTATGTACCAATAAACCTATCATAAGTTGGAAATATGCGAAGTTGAAAATGCATTTAATACGCCCAACCTACTGAACGTGATAGCTTAGCCGGCCTACCTTGAACGTGCTCAGAACACTTACATTAGCCCACAGTCGGGCAAAATCATATAACACCAAGCCCGTTTTATAATAAAGTGTTGAAAAGCTCATGCAATGTGTTGAATATGATTCTAAAAGTGAAGAGCAGAATGGTTGCATGGGTATTCAAAGAATAGTTTCTACTGAAGGCGAATGGCTTTCTCAGCAACATAAAATCAAAAAAATAGTAAGTCAGGTCAGCAGAAGACTAGGACCACTGAATTTTAATAGCCACCCCCCGGCCACCAAGATTAAGAATCTCTGCTCTGTGTGAACGAATTTTAAGGCTGTATGCCTATAATGGGAAGATTCTGGATATCCTCTCCACTCCCCTGGCGTGGAGTAGCTGGGCTGAGCCAGCTGAATGCTAAGTATTCAGAGAACCTGGGGAAGTGGGTCAAGCTGCTAACCTGAGTTTGCAGATCGAGACTGTCAGTCTTTTGGCTCTGCCAGTGAGTAGACACCTAAACAGGCCCCTCCAACTAGAGATGAAGACTTTAAAGACAACTTCTGGGTATTTTATAGAATCAGGGCAAAAGTCAGCTACAGATTGCTGCAAAGCCCCCAGTGCGGGCCTGGGCACCTTCAGGAAGGCCACCTCCTTTCGGGAGCCTTTTTGGTATATGGGGGAGCTCTTTTCCAACTCTTGCTCCCCCTGTGGCAGAATCCTAGTGCCTCGCGTTGAATGAGCTAAGTGGAATATCAGGTTACCAGGGAGAAGGTAGCTTGGAGTCAGGAGATCGGAAGTTCTCATCTTTGAGCTCTTCCCAGTTTTCCTTGTAGACAGCTAGCCAAGCCCAAGGTCCCAGAGCTTACCATTATCAAACCAAGGCACTCACATGCACACGCTCAGCTGAGGAGACCTCTATCCAGCACAGATGTCCAAAAACATACATCCTTTTGTTGGGAGTTAATGTCCACGTTCTTTCTTGTTCTCATTACGGTCCCACCCCCTCCCCCAGACCGGCCAGGGCTCCAAGAGAAAAGGAAAGTAGAACAGCTGCAGTACAACCTGGAGCTGGCCTTTCATCATCATCTCTGCAAGACTCATCGCCAAAGCATCCTGGCAAAGGTAGGAGCAGTGCCGGGCCTAGAGGAGGCCAGGCCCATCGCCAGCTCTGTGACATCGGAGTTTGCGGGGGCCGGGTCTGCGGGTACAGAGGAGGGAGCGTGTGAGTGCCACGTGGTATTAGAGAGCTCGCATCAGCAGTGAGAAGTAAGGGAATGAACAGCTGCTTCCATGTGCATAAAGACTGGAAAGTTAGTGAGCCTGGAATTGGGAGGGACCTCCAGGGAACAATTGAGTTTAATATAGCCAGCACTTACCCAGCACCTGCTTTTACAAGGCACTGTGGAAAGATACAGAGATTTGGTCACTGCCCCCACCAAGAGATTTTAACCTGGTATGAAGAGATCTGTGTATCAGTAACCCTCACACAGAGTGGAATGTGGTATGTGATATGATAATAATGCAATTAACAGAGTGCTTTTGCTGACATGTTTTCTCATCCTCATGGCAACCCAGTCAATAGGACATGTATCAAACTCTCCCTGTAGCAGCTGGGCGCAGTGGCTCACGCCTGCAATCCCAACACTTTGGGAGGCCGAGGCAGGCAGATCACCTGAGGTCGGGAGTTTGACAGCAGCCTGACCAACATTGTGAAACCCCGTCTCTACTAAAAATATAAAAAATTAGCCAGGTGTGGTGGCGGGTGCCTGTAGTCCCAGCTACTTGGCAGGTGGAGGCAGGAGAATTTCTTGAACCCGGGAGGCAGAGGTTGCAGTGAGCTGAGATTGTGTCATTGCACTCCAGCCTGGGCAACAAAACAAAATCAAAAACCTCCCTGTAGGCCGGGCGCGGTGGCTCAAGCCTGTAATCCCAGCACTTTGGGAGGCCGAGGCGGGTGGATCACGAGGTCAAGAGATCGAGACCATCCTGGTCAACATGGTGAAACCCCGTCTCTACTAAAAATTACAAAAAATTAGCTGGGCATGGTGGCGCGTGCCTGTAATCCCAGCTACTCAGGAGGCTGAGGCAGGAGAATTGCCTGAACCCAGGGGGCGGAGGTTGCGGTGAGCCGAGATTGCGCCATTGCACTCCAGCCTGGGTAACAAGAGCGAAACTCCGTCTCAAAAAAAAAAAAAAAAAAAAACAAAAAAACCTCCCTGTAGCTGGAAGGAGACTTCAGTGACTTAAATGCAAGACTGAATCCCAGTGCTCCTTCTGCTCTTTCTATCCCTGTGTCCCCTATGTGTAACTATAATAAGAGGCACTGGAAAGACGTTATTAGAGCATAAAACAGGGATTAAAAATAATTTGGGGGTAAAAGGAGTGGGTCATAAATACTTTCTAGGGACAGAGACATTTATACTAGGCCATGAATGATAGAAGATTTTAACAGGCATTCGTGGGGGTGGGGCAGGCATTCCAGGCTTAGGGAAAAACGGGAGCAAAAATAAGGAGGCAAATAGTGCAAATGCAGATAATAGTTCGTGGTGCATCCTAACTAAAGTGTAAAATTAGGAGCTGGGCTAGACCAATGGGGCAGAAGAGCACCAGAAGATCAGCCTGAAAATTAGGTCAGGGGCAAATCAGAGAGGACGTTTAATGCCATACAAGAGTTAAAGCTTTGTTTCTAGGCCACAGGGAGTTCTGAAGGCTAGAAAAATGACACAATCAGAGACGTTATTTAGGCAATTTACTTTGGAACCAGTGTAAAGGACCCATTTATGTAATTATTCAAGCAGGCCCTTGCTATGTGCCAGGCACAGGGCTGGGTGTTAAGGATACAGCAATGACTTACACAGTCCGTGCTCTGAAGAACTTGAACTTTAATCTGCTATAGGACGGATTTGAAGGAGGAGAGACAGGAATCTGGGAGAGCGATTGGAAAGCAAATCTGGTTGGATGTACTTTCAAAATAAATTACTTCCCCTACGATTACCACCACCCCGGGCCTGCCAGCTCTCAGCTCTTGCTCGGACTTTAAAAGGGGCCTCCTACCTGGGGCCCTGTTCCACCCTGGGCAGACCACCTTCTGAGCACCTTCTCAGCACCCCTGGTAGCCCTTTTAAAAATGCAATCTCATCATGCCCCACTCCTGTTCTTTCCTTTCTTTTTCTTAGGCAGTCTTGCTCTGTCACCCAGGCTAGAGTTCAGTGGTGCGACCTCAGCTCACTGCAACCTCCGCTTCCCAGGTTCAAGCAATTCTCCTGCCTCAGCCTCCTGAGTAGCTGGGATTACAGGCACCCACCACCATGCCCGGCTAATTTTTGTATTTTTCGTAGAGACAGGGTTTCACCATATTGGCCAGGCTGGTCTCGAATTTCTGACCTCAGGTGATCCTCCTGCCTCAGACTCCCAAAGTGCTGGGATTACAGGTGTGAACCATCACGCCTGGCCCTCACCCCTGTTCTCAGCCCTGCCGTAGCTGCCTGTCACGTTGAGAATCAAATCTAGAGTCTGTGTCATGGCCAAGTGGCTCATAACACGGTCCCTGCCTTCTTTTCTCACCCGATCTTCCACTGCCCCTTCAGCCTCCCGTTCCAGCCGCACTTGCTTCCTTGCTATTCCTTGAACGCACCGAGCCCAGTCGCAGAGCTTTCGTTCCTGCTACTGCAGTCGCCTGGAAGGTTCTTCCCTCAGTTTTCCAAATGGTTTGCTCCATCTCCTCATTCAGGAGAGGTTTTTCCTAACTAGTAACCCCTGACAAAAAGCTTTAGTTTTCTTTTAAGAACTTACTATCTGACACATGACATATTTATTTTCTGGGTCCCTCACCAGAATGTAAATTTAATCAAGGTGGAGGTTATGCTTTATTAACTGACATATCTGATGTATCACCAGATTCAGGTGGGTTCTCAGCAAATAGTTGTTGAATGAATGAAGGAAGGAAGCTGTTACCATAGCCCCCGAAAAAGGCTCCGAATAAAGCAGTGGAGAGGAAGAGGATGGATACAGGAGATATGAAGGGATCGTTCCCTGCTGCCTGCTTTTCCCTGTCTCTTTCCAAGAAAACTAAGCTAGGGGGAGGGAGGTGATGTCTGGCAAGAGACATTTTTCAGCCCCTTGGTTATAGAGGAGACTTTGAGAGATAAACTGTTGTTTCAGCCTTGCTCCGGTGAGGGCTCCCTGCCTCCAGCTGCTCACAGGTTTCTGCACCTTTTCCATCTCCCCTTTGGCTGAGTGCTGGCAGCAGCAGTTTGCTAATTGCAGTGTTAGGTGCCTGCTTAGAAAGTCTGTTTAGTTCAAAGAAAGATTTACTGAGCCTTTGCCATGTGCTAAGCATTATGATAGGCACAGAGGAGACAGAGAAAGAGAGACCCCAGGTAGAGCTGAAATCTAGGGTGGGAAGGCAGACACATTGGACCGTTTTCCTGCAGTGTGGTACGTGCTACACAGAGGAAAGCCCAAAAGAAGGGTCTTCAATTCAGATGAGGGTAGTTAGGGAAATAGGAGAGGTGACACTGAAGGGTAAGAATTAGGAACGGGAGGAGGGGAACAGCATGCACAAGGCAGAGGCATGTGGCAGCATACAACCAGAGTCACAGACGATCACTCTTACAAAAGCCTGAAGTGCTTGTTAGAGTCTTTAACGAGGTTCATTCTGGAAGTTTTGGGGACATAATTTGAGGGCTTCACTTCACTTTGCCCACCCACTCTCGCTTCCCTCCAGTGTCCTATACACACACATACTTCTACCAGTGGGATTTGGCTGATGCGAAAGTGCCAAGTCCACAAGGGGAAGACAAGGAGGGTTTGTCCCAGCCCAGGAAGGACCAAGGACTTCTTTTCTCTGAGGAGAGCAGAAGTATTGACTGTCCCTTCCCCATTAACCCACCTCCAGCTGCCGCCCAAGGGGAAGCTCCGGAGCCTGTGTAGCCAGCATGTGGAAAGGCTGCAGATCTTCCAGCACCTCCACCCCATCGTGGTCCAAGCCGCTTTCCCCCCACTCTACAAGGAGCTCTTCAGCACTGAAACCGAGTCACCTGTGGGGCTGTCCAAGTGACCTGAAGGAGGGACTCCTTGCCTCTCCCTATGGCCTGCTGGCCCACCTCCCTGGACCCTGTTCCACCCTCGGCCAAATTTTCCATTCCCATGAACCCTGGAGGGTGGTCCCCAGCATCTCTTTGAGAGTAAGCAGATACTGCAGCTGGCTTTCTGTCCACAGGCTGGGGCTGGCACGACACCATCTCCTGCCTCAGCTTTGACTGTCTTGTTTCCTGTATTCCTTCACACCCAGCTTCTGGAAGGCGTGGGGTGGCTGGGATATAAGGACTTCTGGGGGACCAAGGCATCCTCAAGAAAGCAGGGGCATCCAAGGCTCCCTGGATTGATAAGAACACAATTCATTCAGAAGCTCAGAAGCTAAGAATAGGCCTTTGAAATACCTCATTGCATTTCCCTCTGGGCTTCGGCTGGGGGAGATGGAGCAAGCTCAGAGCCTGGCAGTGAGAGCCCAGGAGGACCTGTATAAAATGAATCCGGAGCTTTATGTCTTCTGCCTCTGCCTTCCTCCCAGCACAGCAAGGACGTGTTTGGGCACCCTACCCTTTTCCTGGGGACTAACCAAAAACTGGATGGGATGAGGATGAGAGGCTGGGGATCATTGTTTTGCGGGATTTAGGTACAATGAAGGCCAACAGCATCCTGGATATAGAGTTGAAACTCAAACCTCTTATGTGCACTTTAACAATAGACTATAGGGGCTGGCACAAATCTGATCAGAGACATACACCCATACACAGGTGAAACACATACAGACTCAGCTGCAATCATGCAGTTTCAGAGACACGTGAACCTGACACAACCTCTCATCCTTCAGGCCACAGCTCGGAGGAGCCTAGTGGCCTCAGGGAAAGTCCCAATTCTGAGGGACTCCCCCAGACATTTCCATGGTGCTCCGGTCCACTGATCTTGGGCCTGGGGTGATCCAAACACCACCCCAGCTCCAGCTGTCTTCTACCATTAGAAGCCCCAACAGAAGCAGAGGTGGCTGGCACTGGTCAGTCGGAAGGCAAGGACAGACCCCAGAGGACTTTCCTGGGCTACCCACCGGCCCTGCTCTTGTTGGGGAGAAGGAAGCAGATGCAATCGCAGCACCCCAACATTGGGCACTGCAGACTCCAGCATGGAGGACACCAGGGAGCAGGGCCCGGGCCTGTTTCCCCAGCTGTGATCTTGCCCAGAACCTCTCTTGGCTTCATAAACAGCTGTGAACCCTCCCCTGGGGGATAAACAGCAATGATGGGTGGTCATGGGGTTGGGGGGTGGGGGGTGGGATTATTTCCTCTCAGGGGATGGGTTCATCTGAGTAAACATAAACCCCAACTTGTGCCATTCTTTATAAAATGACTTTAAAGGCGAGAGGTGTGTGTGTCAGCGGGGTAGGGGGGAATCCAGAAATTACATCACCTGCATACCTGCTCTCCAGTCTCATTCCTCCAGCAAGACCCAGGTCTCCAGCTCAGCAATCCCACAGCGTTACACAGACCCAACCTACCCTCACTGCATCTCTGCAGTTTCTCCCCAGGTGGAGCAGTTCCCCGGTGAGGCACCCCCACTGTAGGAGCCTCAAACTGAGCTCCACAGGAGATGCTGTCGACTGAGAACTTTCCACAGATGATACCCACAGGGAACATTTGGATTTATAGATTGCACAGAATTGCTCCACATCTGGGAGACCAAAAGACAATCCTCTGGAAGGTGGCTGGCCTGAGCTCCCCAGGGGGGATCAGGATGTCAGAGAGATCCTCTAGAGGCTGCCGCTCCTGCCATTGCCTGACCCCTCCCTGGCACCAGAGCCTCCCTCTTAGATCCCTCCCCTGCCACTTGCCAGCCTGTAGTGGTGCTTGCTGCAGCCCTCCCTGGTTGCTTTATTTATTTATTTTGCACCAACAGGGTTGCTGCAGACTCATTCTCGCCTGGTTTAAAAAGAGAGAGAGGAAAAAAAAAAAAAGGAGAAATGCTTTCTGGCTCTTTTCTCCACCTCAGTCTTGGCAGCCGCGGCCGCAGCAGCAACAGCAGCAGTGGCGGGAGGCAGCAGGCGGCTGGCAGGCAGCAGGGGAGGGGGTGAGGCACGCGGGGAAGGTGCAGGGGCCTGAGGTGCAGCTTGAATGGGACAGGGCCCCCAGCGCTGGACAGATGCAGTGCCCAAGTTGATGCCACCCTCCGGCTTCTCCGGTAAGTGCCCCCACCCTCTGTCCCAAAGATGCAGCTGCCCTTTTCCATAACATTCTTGGAGACAGGCCAGACTAGTGTGCCCCTCAAGGCAAGAGGGTTTGGGCCCCCACACTGCCAACAATTAATCCTGACCCCATGGGACTTTGAAGGGGAAACTAAAATGTCCCAAGTGCCCCTGGGTGGAAGGACTCCAAGGAGGCCTCCCTTCCATCTCCCCAGTACTCCCCCTTTCTCTGGAAGGCTTTTCTACATAACCAGTGTGGATCTTCCAGAAATCTTTCCCCCAGGAACCCCTCTCCCCACAGTTCCCATCCATCAGTCAGGTGTGCTTTAAAGAGGATACAGGATACCCAGGTCCAAGGTGTCTCTGGACTGCCACATAAAGACAAGAAGAAAGGTCTCTATCCTTGAGGGGTGATGCCCCAGACCCCATCCCACTGAAGGAGAGAATAAAGTGATTCTGACATCTCTCTTTCTGCAAAGTGGCCGGAAGCCGGTCCTGCGGCCATGGAGGTTGGCAAAGGAAGTTTGTGATTAAATTAGCCACCGTAGAAATAAAATAGGTTGCTCCAGCTCCCTCAGCCCCTGGCCCAGCAGGCTTTGGGACTCAGGGGAACTCACCGGAGCAGGAAGGAAGAAAGCTGGGTTACATGCTTCACTGCACTTTTGCTGATGGCAGAGCAGAGGATGAGCAGGAGCTGCAGCAGCAGTGATGGAGAGCTAGCTGTCAGGTGGACTTCCCGGAACAAGCCCAGGGAGGACAAGGGAGGCTGGGCCACCTCTCCTGGGAGAGCTCTGGGCACGCCACACAGACCTGTCAGGTCAGGATGGGAGAGAGGAGTCTGCCCTGCGGTCTTAGCCCCATGTTACTTTCTCATCCCAAAGCCTCAGACCCGTGTTCTGTATCCCTCTGCTCTTCTGGCCTCTTCCTTTAGTTTTCCTACTAGGACAATCCTCTGAACTGGCTGTGGGAGAGCAGCTATGATCCTTCCAGAGGGTGGAGAGTGGGAAGGAAAGGGGAAGAAATGACTGTCTCTTCAACTGCCTCTCCTAAGTTCCATAAGGGAAAAAATAGGGCATGTAGTAGAAAGCTGACCCTGTAGAGTGCAGAGAGCCTGAAGCCCATAAGCCCAAAGGTGACCAGGATTGCCGCTCAGGAGAAACTCAGACACACTGTCTCCCAGGGAGACAAGGGATGGCAAGCCATCCCTTGCCAATCCAGTACTCCTCCCTTTCCTTGGGGTCCCTGTTGACATTGAACAGGGTGAGTCCGAGGCCCTCACCACGTAGAGGGCCCCTTCTCCTCTGTCACCTCAGCCATTGTAGTCACCATCTTCCTGAGATTTCCCAGACCCGGGTACTCGGAAACCAGCTGTAAGTTGACAGGCTCTGCACATGGCCTGTGCCCAGATATCTGCTGTGCCAGCCAAGGGCTCCCTTCCTCCCCACCCTACAGTGCCCAGTCAGATGCTCTCTCTCCACACTTAACTATGCTCCCAGGTCCACAGTCTGTCTCGTGGGAATTTCTCAGGCAGCTCAGGCCAAAAGGGGCAAGGGCTCTCCCTCAGATCCACACACTGGACCAGAATCAAAACGCCATTAAGGAGGGGTATGAGGGAAGCCCAAGACTGAAGACCAAGCCACAGAACTCAAAACCTGGGCATCCTGTGGGTCCCTCACACACCCCAACTTCATCTGTAGTGGAGAAGCAGTTGCTATTGGGCTCTTGCAGGGGATTCCCAGCTTCCCAGTCAAGTGCCCCCTGCATCCTATGCCACAGCTAATGTACAGCTTGGCCGTTGTCCACACAGGCATTTTGGGGAGATTGGATTTTGCTAGTCCAGGGCTCAGGCCTTGGGCCAGGCTGGAGGAGGGCTCAGCATGAGGGTGGAGCTGAGGCCTGCATGTTTCCCAGCCTTGGGTGAGCTAGTCAAGGTGAGGACCTCTCCAGTCAGGACAGGGAACTCTGGGCCAAGAACGCCATCTCCCTGAGCAAAAGCTATGGGTACGTAATATGGGAGAATAAGGGTGGGCAGAGAGGGACAGAGCAGAGCTTGAGGAGAGCAGGTATCAGGGAGAGGAAACCCGAGATACTCCTGGATCTCACAGACATCAGGAAACCCTATTACAGAAAGACTCAGTTACCTCCCTGCTGTTCCCTGCCCCATTCCCATAAGTCCTTCCCCACAGAAATCAGGCTTGGCTAGGGTTCCATGAGCCAGTAAGCACTTGGTTATCCAGGGCTGGAAGAGGGAGGAAGGTAGAGATTCCCCAAAGAGAAACTCCAGGAAGCCCCTGGGAGGTGGCACACAAGAATCCTTCCTGGTTCTGTGCCCTACTTGTTGGCAATGCTGAGACAGATAGACCAATTTCTCCCCCCTCTAAGAAGGGCCAGGACGTCCAGGATCACCATCATCTGAAGCCACTTTCCAAAAAGAGCCATGTCATCATCTGTTCCAGGACTGAAGAGGGAATGGATACGGCCACAGCTCCAAAGCCAGCCTGGCCCCCATGGCCCCTGCTCCTTTTCCTCCTCCTCCTGCCTGGAGGGAGCCATGGCAGCTGCCCTGCTGTGTGCGACTGCACCTCCCAGCCCCAGGCTGTGCTCTGTGGCCACAGGCAACTGGAGGCTGTACCTGGAGGACTCCCACCGGACACTGAGCTCCTGGACCTGAGTGGGAACCGCCTGTGGGGACTCCAGCGGGGAATGCTCTCCCGCCTGAGCCTGCTCCAGGAATTGGACCTCAGCTACAACCAGCTTTCCACCCTTGAGCCTGGGGCCTTCCATGGCCTACAGAGCCTACTCACCTTGAGGCTGCAGGGCAATCGGCTCAGAATCATGGGGCCTGGGGTCTTCTCAGGCCTCTCTGCCTTGACCCTGCTGGACCTCCGCCTCAACCAAATTGTCCTCTTCCTAGATGGAGCTTTTGGGGAGCTAGGAAGCCTCCAGCAGCTGGAGGTTGGGGACAACCACTTGGTATTTGTGGCTCCGGGGGCCTTTGCAGGGCTGTCCAAGCTGAGCACCCTCACCCTGGAGCGCTGCAACCTCAGCACAGTGCCTGGCCTAGCCCTCGCCCGTCTCCCGGCACTAGTTGCTCTAAGGCTTCGAGAACTGGACATTGGGAGGCTGCCAGCTGGGGCGCTGAGGGGACTGGGGCAGCTCAAGGAGCTGGAGATCCACCACTGGCCGTCTCTGGAGGCTCTGGACCCTGGGAGCTTGGTTGGGCTCAATCTCAGCAGCCTGGCCATCACCCGCTGCAATCTGAGCTCGGTGCCCTTCCAAGCACTGCACCACCTGAGCTTCCTCAGGGTCCTGGATCTATCTCAGAATCCCATCTCAGCCATCCCTGCCCGAAGGCTCAGTCCCCTCGTGCGACTCCAGGAGCTACGCCTGTCAGGGGCATGCCTCACCTCCATTGCCGCCCATGCCTTCCACGGCTTGACGGCCTTCCACCTCCTGGATGTGGCAGATAATGCCCTTCAGACACTAGAGGAAACAGCCTTCCCTTCTCCAGACAAACTGGTGACCCTGAGGCTGTCTGGCAACCCCCTGACCTGTGACTGCCGCCTCCTCTGGCTGCTCCGGCTCCGCCGCCGCCTGGACTTTGGCACATCCCCCCCTGCCTGTGCTGGTCCCCAGCATGTCCAAGGGAAGAGCCTGAGGGATTTTTCGGACATCCTGCCTCCAGGGCACTTCACCTGCAAACCGGCCCTGATCCGAAAGTCCGGGCCTCGATGGGTCATTGCAGAGGAGGGTGGGCATGCGGTTTTCTCCTGCTCTGGAGATGGAGACCCAGCCCCCACTGTCTCCTGGATGAGGCCTCACGGGGCTTGGCTGGGCAGGGCTGGGAGAGTAAGGGTCCTAGAGGATGGGACACTGGAGATCCGCTCAGTGCAGCTACGGGACAGGGGGCCCTATGTCTGCGTGGTCAGCAATGTCGCTGGGAATGACTCCCTGAGGACCTGGCTGGAAGTCATCCAGGTGGAACCAGCAAACGGCTCGCTCTCTGACCCCAACATCACCGTGCCGGGAATCCCAGGGCCTTTTTTTCTGGATAGCAGAGGTGTAGCCATGGTGCTAGCAGTTGGCTTCCTCCCCTTCCTCACCTCAGTGACCCTCTGCTTTGGCCTGATTGCCCTTTGGAGCAAGGGCAAGGGCCGGGTCAAACATCACGTGACCTTTGACTTTGTGGCACCTCGGCCCTCTGGGGATAAAAACTCCGGGGGTAACCGGGTCACTGCCAAGCTCTTCTGACCCTTCCTTCCCCAGTGGGGAACCCACCAAGTCCGCTTCAGATACCAAAGGGGATGACAGAACCAAGGCTACTTGGTTCCAGAGCAGCACCACCCTCCCGCCCCTCCCGCCCCTCCCGCCCCTCCCGCCTGCGTTCTGCCAGTAACTAGCAATGCCTCCTGCTAGAGAGTCTGCTTCCCGAGCCTTTGCGGTCTGAGGATAGCATTGCCGTTTCTTCACTGAGGGTCCCAGGGAGCTGCAGATGCAGACCCCGTCGTTATTCCAGCCCTCCCTTCGTCCCCCTCCACGCACAAAACAGGAAACAGAACCAAAGCTCTAGTCCGCTCGTCCAACCACTTGGCTTTCTTCACACACACGTATATCCTTTAATAACCAACACCGCTGGCTACAGCTCTCAGATTATTTCAGAGGTGGGGCTGGGAAGTGCCACTTGCTCCTTGGAGTCTCCGTTTGTCAACCAGACAGAGTCCCTTTCTTTTCTGCCCCTAGGTGCAGGAATAAGAGGCAAGGAGCCTGAGGCTACAGAGAGGAGGACGGGGACAGAATGTGGGATGGGGAGGACAGGCCACACACTGCACTGTCTGCATGAGCCTCCACCACCTCCTTCTGTCTCCCAGATCATTAAACCTGCTGCCAAAGGGCCACGACAGTAGCCGCCAAAACTAATGTCATCTCTGGCGTTTTCTTTACTTCAGTCTATTTCCTACCCTCATGTCTGTTCTATCTCCCCCCTCCTTCTCTTCCTCCTTCCCATTGATCCTGTGTCCCAGTGGCCTTGCCTCCAGCTAACCTGCCTGACAAACAGGGTAAGGAGTGCCCTCCCACCTCCACTCTCCTCACCACCATGCCTGGAGGGATCAGCACTCCCAGCCCCAGTTTCGGCCTCAATCCTTTACCTTTCACTCCCCATCTCTGGAAGTGGAAAAGGAGCGATCCTCCACCTTCCCGGGGATCCCCACATAGAAATTCCACCTGGGACACCCAGCTGCTGCCCCTCTTTGCCATTTCTCCATGGGAGCCCCCCCATCATTTTTGTGTCACAGATCCGTGGTGCCCTTGGGGAAAAGTCAGAACTCCAAGTTAATGACTGACAAATGCAAGAATCCTGCAGTTGTCAGAGGAGAGAGACCCAGGACACTGCAGAGACTAGGCTTGGAGGAACAGGGAGGAGGGCACAGCAGGCTGTAGTGAGAAGCGGTGGGAAGGGGGAGCAGCAGTAACTGCCTGCCTAGTTAATTTCCACCATCCTTCTGCAGTTTCCTCCGGTTCTGTGCTTCCTGCAGCGGGAAGCTCTCTCCGGGTAGAGGTCAGTGACTTACAGAGACCCCCAGATGGGGAGGTGGAGCGGGAGGTGAAAGTGCTGAGTACCACAGGCTGTGCTTCAAATAGAGGGCAAAGCAGAGCCCAAAAAGAAGTAGAGATGCTGGAAGCTCAAGGGACAGAGCAACAGCCTCAGCATCACTGGAAGGGAGGAGTGACAGGGAGAGGAGAGGAGTGGGAGGAGGGACTGAGAAGGGAAGAATCACGTGGCCCCAGGGAACCTTTCTCCGCAGCAGCATCTGCCCAGCGTCCTTAGGTTCCTCCTACCCACCCCTACACCAAACCAGATGCAAGCACTGTGAGCTTTCTGGTTGATTCCTGCTGCTGCTGTCCTTGCTCTGAGGAGACTCCACTCATTAGATTCCCAGCCCAATCTGCCCGATAGGTGAGACACTCAGTGCCACTGAGTAAGTGAAGCTGGACTTCATAGGCAGGCCACTCTAGTGGGGCAGAGATAGGAATAGGAGGGTAGGACCAGAGGTGAATGTGAGAACCGGGCAGACAGGAGAGTGAGGCTGGAGAAACTGACCTGCTTGAGAAATGAGTTTCCCTGAGCCTGCAACCTCCCCACCCACCATGCACACACAACCCAGTTAGCATCCCAGCAACTTCCCCTTCTCCAGTTTATAATGTACCAGAGAGGTTTTTCGGGGCACAGCCCTCCCTCTCCGCACCATAACCTTTCACCAGCAGCTTATTAGGTTGGGACTTGGGAATCAGACGCTGAAGGTTCCCACTCTCGCTGCCCTCTCTGCAATGCGGAAGCAGCAATGCTGTTGAGAGAAATCTTCTCCGGGAAGCCCCTGGTGCAGTGAGGAACAGATGACTCTCTGGTGCTGGGACGTGCTGCTGCCCGAAGTCTCTGGAGTCTCAAAGTCTCCAGAGCAGAGCTATCCAACAGACATAGAATCCAAGTCACCTATGTAATGTCAAGTTTTCTAGTAGCTACTACATAAAAAAATCAAAATGAAACAGATACATTTAATGTCAATACTTATTTAACCCAATGTACCCAAACTATTATCATTTCAATATATTATCAATATAAAATCAATCATAAAATACTTAACACTTTTTCATATTCGGTCTTTAAAATCCAATGTATATTTTACACTTACAGTCCATCTCAACATCACAATGCAGTTACTAAATTTTCACCAGAAAATCTGTATTTGGATTTCATACAGGTCACTGCAGAGAAAGTGGATTCACACATCCAAGTTTTTTTCAAACATAAAACGTTTTCCAATAAGGGAATCAAAATCTGTTTTAAATTTTTAATTAAAATTATATAAATTTAAAATTCCATTCCTCAGCTGTACTACCTACCTTTACAGGCATTCAATAGCCACACGTGGCCAATGGTACCATACTGGACAGCAAAGCTTCAGACTAAGGTCTCCTTGGCAGTGATGGGTGGAGAGGATCCCTCAAGAAACACATTTAATCTCAGGGAAATGCCTGTGGAGCTACTCCCATCACAGCCCCTTTGTCTCCTATCGAAGCTGCTCCAGAATCTGTTTGAAGGATGAAGCCCATTAGTGTAACAAGCTTACTAAGACAAGCACTTCCACAGCTTGTCCAGGCATTAGCAAGCCGGTTCCTCATCTCACCTATCAGAAAGGCTGCCCTCAGCTCAGCTGTGATGGTACAGGCTGCTGTGCGTGTGCAGATGAGTGTGCAAATGCAACGGAGGCTCTGAGTACGGGGCTGTGAGGACAGAATTTTTGTGGACCATGTGCAGGGATGCATGGCACCACACCGTGGGGACAATCCAATGGAGGCTCTGTCCAGGGTGGGACAGAAGTCCAAAGCAAAGAAAATAACTGATTGAGGGCCTATTCTATGTCAGTGACTTTATATGTTTTCTTATTTATTTATTTATTTATTTTGAGACGGAGTTTCGCTCTTGTTACCCAGGCTGGAGTGCAATGGCGCGATCTCGGCTCACCGCAACCTCCGCCTCCTGGGTTCAGGCAATTCTCCTGCCTCAGCCTCCCGAGTAGCTGGGATTACAGGCGCGCACCACCATGCCCAGCTAATTTTTGTATTTTTAGTAGAGACGGGGTTTCACCATGTTGACCAGGATGGTCTCGATCTCTTGACCTCATGATCCACCTGCCTTGGCCTCCCAAAGTGCTGGGATTATAGGCGTGAGCCACCGCGCCCGGCCATGTTTTCTTATTTAATGCTTACATCAGCCCTATAAAGTAGGGAGGTATCTTAGCTGATGAAACTGAAGGTCAAATAGAGTAAGCACTCAGGTGTGCAGAGTTAGTAAACAGCAATTAGCTATTTGAGCTCAGGGCTGACTGAAAACTCCCACTTTCTAGCACACTGCCATCCTCACTGCCACGCCCTCATGGCTCTGTCTCCCAGGCCTCTCAGTTGCAGGAAACGGGGAGAATCTTCCCCTGTAAGAAAGGGGAAATCTTCCAACGTATCCACTCTGAACTTTCAGCAGGGACTGGGCTGTTATTGGTCCTCAACTTCTTTACTAACTCTAATGCACCTGATACACAAGGTTGGGGTTTTTTTTTGTTTTTACTCTTTCTTCTCAGTCCCCTCTCCCAATGTCCTTACAGCCTCTGCCTCGGGGACTGGTAGAAAGGAGCAGAAATTCCAGGGAGCAGATGGCCTGCAGCGAAATGCCTGGCTTCCAGCAAAGGAGTCTCTGAAACGGAGGCTTCAGATTTCCTAGTTCCTTTCTGGGTTCTAACCTCAACAACCTCCTAGGTTAGAGAGAGGTTGCACACATTGGCAGAACAATCTGTGAGCTATTTCAGATTGGAGAAGAATTTCACTCTGCCTACCTTCTGCCCATCCCTGCTTGACAGATTCTTTTCAAGGGCATTCCCTCCTGCCCTCCTTCCACTCCTCTCACTTCAATCTCAGACACGGTTTCACTTAAGCTGTGAGATAACTTTAGACCCAAAGATACTACGGCACCATCTCCACGCTCCACATTTTCATCCCCGATGGTCTCTCTTTCTCTATTTCTGACTTCTGTTTCCTGTGCTGTGCTGGATCCCTGATTCAAGAGATGAGAGCCCTTCTGAGCAATGATCTTCAACTTTTTTGAGTCACAGACCCTCTGAGAATTCCTGATGCAAGCTATGAACAAAAATATTGGTAAATTATCCAGTCATTCTGAAGCCATCACAGACTCCATTGAATATAGGTTAAGAAATTCTGCTATGAGAAGCCACAGGTTGCAGGGGAAACTGAGGCCTTAGGCCACATTTGCTTTCCAGGGTCCATTAGAGGCAAAGAGATAAGGCTGAGAAGGATTACAGTTCAAAGTGGATGTCAGCACAGGTAAGAGCAGGTATTAGCATGGGCCCAGCAAGGACACACACAAAACTGCCTCCAGCATCCTCTCCTCACCTCTCCCCTTCTCCCACCAGCACCCAACTGAGGGAGAGGCAAGAGACTTTGGGTGGAACTCTTGCTGTAAAAAGTCAGTACGATGGTGACTCAGGTGACTCAGAGAGCATCTGAAACCAGGGACTCCTGGGTCCTGTTCCTCCAAACTGCTTTACAAGGGGAATGAAGGGAATTCCCACCTAGGAAGACAGCTAGGTGGTGGTTATCAGAGAGGCTGAGGAGAATTCTCTCCTAGAGCACCTGCCACAATTCAATCTGGTCTGAAGGCTGAAGAGTAGCACTAGCATAAGTTAGGACTCTAAGGCTCAGGCTCCCAGTTGCTGGTTTCTGGTGAAGAGGCTTGATTAAGTGGGGAGAGTGGGTGACTCCTACGATGGGCAACAAGAGAGATGAGTGCTATTCTCCAAAGGCTCAGACAGCTGAACAGCATTTGAATGGATCATTCGTATGTCGAACAGGGAGGGAATTCTGTGGGCAGCCAGGGCTCTGGGAGGGCTCCTTGCATTGGACCTTAGCAGTCCCTCACTGCCCGACCCCTAGCTAAGGTCACTTTCCTGCTTCAGTTTGCTAAAGGGAACACTTGCCCACTGAACCCTCTGGGCAATCCAGACCTTATCTTAACTCACTCCACCTAATGCCTTCCACAGCCTGTTCAGAACACCCTTCAGGGAAAGAGAATAGACTCTTAGGACTGGAGATAAGAAGGAAGACATTCTAATTCATCCAATCCCAGCATCTCACGATTCAATGTCTCCATCCTGATTTGGGATCTGAGAGGAGAAATGAGATGATAAATCCCAAATGTACAGTGACTTGAGGGTGAGGGGTGAGCTAACTTGAAGTTATTCCTTCTGCTCCCCAACAAGTTAGAAGTCAATCTTATTTTTGGATAAGATAAAATCAATCTTATTTTAAAATAAAATTATAGTGGCTCACACCTGTAATCGCAGCACTTTGGG